CAGTTTTATATACGTTTAAAAGTTTTTAAGATAAAATAAAAATTTTCACTAATAATGGATGAAATAATTTTACTAATCGAATAGTTTCGACTGGAAAAAAAAAAACTTCATTCACTAATATTTTGCATTTTATGATAATTTATATATTATCTATTTATATTTATATCTATAATTATTTATCTACTATCTATCTATATCTATAATTTTTATGTATAATTCATAATCTATGATATATGAAAGCAATGTTGTCTTCATTTTTTTTGTATCTAAGATCTTCCGGTATTCAATAATTACTTTAAATTCCGACTAATAATATAATCGAATCATTCCTTAGCTATTCAAACCAACAAACTTTGGTATGCTGCCTTTAGCTTATTGACTAAAATGGTTTAAGAAGACACGTAAAGTATGAGTTCAAACCCTACCATCTCTTACTCTTATCCTGTGTATGGAAATGGATATTTTTGTTCAATATGCATCTAAATTTTTATATTTTTAAATATTTTATATTATAAATAAAATTTATTCCTTTATAAATAAAAATTTAATCCATTTAAAAACTTTCATTTATTTGATTTCGGTCAAAAAAAATGAATTGATCTTTTTGGTTTTTATATTAAAAATAAATTTATTTATTTACTAAATTTATTCAATTTATAAACAAAAATTTTAGTTCAACGTAAACTTTACAAATATACATGTTAATGTAAGTTATAAATTTTAGTTATTTATACACCATATATACAAATATATATTTAATATATAATTATTATTTTGAAGATATATCCAACTCTAAAAATGAAAACGGTTTAAATTAGATCATATTTGATTTAATTTTTGGATAATACATAGTATTATGAATTTTCAAATTCCGATTCAAATCCGAACAGACATTCTCTTGAAATCGATCTGTTTCAACCAAATTTGATAATTCAGTTTAGTTTATCAATTTTTTGAAATTTATTTTTTTAATTTTTATATTGTTTTAATATAATTTTTAATATATTTAAATAAATTTAGATTATAAAATAATTAATTTTATTTTATAAAAATTTAAAAAATATATAATTTAAAATATATATAATTTAATTCGATTTGAATATTTTAAATTTTTTTATTTATTGATTTGAAATTTGATTCCAATATAATAAAAACATTTAATATCCAAATGTAAATCAAACCAAATAAAAAAATTAATCCAAATTAAATTAAATATTACTATTTCAAATTAATATTTTATTTTTAAAATTTTTTTCTCACATCCAACACCTTTCTAACATGCTTAGTACTACTTATTAAACTAAATTAAAGATTAATTTAGCATTATTGTTACAGTAAAATAAATTTATGTTGAGAAAACTACATTTAAAAAATATGGTTGAAAATTATAATCATTTAGTATTGTTGTAAAAAAAATGTAAATAATTAAAATGATAGTGTTTGTGCTAAGTTCGGATTAAGGGAAGAGCTCAGAGATAAGCTCTTTGATAAGAATAAGAGACTTGAGGATAAGAGCTTAAAGGAAAGTATAAGAGACTTAGAAGAAGAATTGTCTCCCATTTACTTAATGAGAGTATTTGTATTTATACAAATTACCTCGAACTAAATAACCAAAAAACCGCTTGTCCAATTGTGAGCTACTTTCTTAGGGTAAAAGATAATTATACCTCTATGACCAAAAAATGTCTCTAATATTATGTGCCTCCAAAAAACAGTTTGGAGATTCATATAAGGGTTGAGCCAATATATTTGACCTACTTTGGGTTTAGTGGATTTGTTAAAATTTAAGGATATTTTCAAGTTCAGACTTTGAATGTCGATTTTGGTTTCCAACTTTTTAATGACATGAGTGGTTTAAAATACAGACATGATGAGATGTCATTTTATGATTCATCTAATGTTGATAATTATGGGGATCTCAATAGTTGTTTGATTTTATTTGCTAACTATTTACTTTTGGCTGGATTAATAGACAACTAATTTATGAGTAATTAGGTTGTCTAAATTAGTTACCTAATAATTGATGTGACATTTAATAGATTATATAATAAAATTCTAAATTCATTTGTGTTGAAAAAATTTATACTGAAGTGAATCTGTGTCGAAGTGAATATGTGTTAAAAGTGATTTTTATCGAGGTGATTTTCACCAAAGTGAATTTAGTGAATATAAACTCTTGCAAAGATAATTTTGTTGAGTGGAGCTTTATTGAAAAAATTTACCAATGTGAGCTCTTTTGAAGGTAATTTTTATTATAGTGAGTTTTTTTACCGAGCTAAGCAATTAGGTCAAACTAAAATTTTTTAGTCAACTTAAGTTTTTTGGTTAGAGCTAATCATTTTTTAAGAAAATATGGCAAAACTACTACTTTATCAATGAAATTTGGTTAGGCAGAGCTAATCTCTTTTGGTTGAACTGAGTATTTTTTATCGAGTTGGCAAAACTAATATTTTATAAATGAAATTTGGCTAAGCTAAGATCTTTTAGTTGAACTAACCATTTATGAAGGAAATTTGGTAAAGTCAATACTTTATCTAAGAAATTTGGTTGGAGTATCCTAAGCTTTTTTTATTGAATTAATCTTTTTTGGCTGAACTAATCATTAAGGCTTTTTGATTGAGTTGATCTTTGCCAAGAAAATTTAGTCGTGCTAAGCTTTTTTGACTGAGGTGAGCTTTTTTTATTGAGCTGAGCTCTTTTGGTTAAGTTAATCACTTTGACCGAGATGACCTAGCAAAATTTTTATGAAGCTAATTTATCGAGATGAGCTCTTTGGTTGAGCTAAACTTTTATGAAGGTAATTTAACAAGATAAGCTCTTTAGCCAAGGTGGCCGAGCTAAGTCTTTGTGAAAGTAATTTATTAAGATAAGCTTTTTGATTGAGGTGAGCTCTTTTAGTCGATGTGGCCCCGCTAAGCCTTTATGAAGGCAATTCACCAAGATGAGCTCTTTGATCGAGATGATCGAGATGAGCTTTTTTGGTTGAATTGGGCTCTTTTGATCGAGCTAAACTTTTTAGCCAAATTGATCATTTTGGCTGAGATGGCCCAACTAAGCCTTTATGTAGACAATTTATCAAGATAAGCTCTTTGATCAAGATGGTCAAGCTAACTTTTGTGAAGCTAATTTACTAAAATAAGCTCTTTAACCGATGTAGTCGAGATGAGCTCTTTTGACCAAGGTGAGCTCTTTTGGTCGAGCTAAGTTTTTTTGATCGAAGTGGCCTAACTAAGCCCTTATGAAGGCAATTTACCAAGATGAGCTACTTGGTTGAGGTGGTTGAGATAAGTTCTTTTAGCCAAATTAAGCTCTTTCAACCAAGCTAATTACTTTGGCTAAGATGACCTAACTAAGCTTTTATGTAGGTAATTTACTGAGATAAGCTCTTTGACTAAAATAGCTGAGCTAAGCTCTTTTGGTCAAGCTGGGCTTTTTTAATCAAGTTGAGCTCTTTTAGTCAAGTTAATCACTTTGGCTGAGCTATTTTGTCAAGTTGAATCTTTATAAAGGTATTTTGTAGATCCAAACTCTTTTGCTCGAGTTGAGTTCGAGCTCTTTGGCTAAACTATTTTGTCGAATTGGACCTTTATGAAAGCATTTTTTAGATCCGAGTTCTTTTGACTGGATTAAGTCCAAGCTTTTTAGCTGAATTGTTTTGTTGAGTTGGGTCTTTATAAAGGTATTTTGTAGATCTGAGCTCTTTTGACCATGCTATTTTGTTAAATTAGGTCTTTATGAAGGTATTTTGTAGATCGTAGCTCATTTGATTGAGCTGAATTCGAACTCTTTGGTTGAACTATTTTGTCAAATTGGACCTTTTATAAAGGTATTTTGTAGAACTAAACTCTTTTAATCAAACTGAATCCAAGCTCTTTGCCCGATTTATTTTGTCGAATTAAGCCTTTATGAAGTTGATATATAGATTTGAACTCGTTGGCAAAGTTTAGTCCGAGTTGAGTCCAAGCTTTTTAATCGAAGTAAATTCGAACTCTTTTGGTTGAGTTGAGTTTAAATGCTTTGACTAAGTTGGGTTCGAGCTCTTTGGTCGTGCTAGGCTTGAGCTCTTTGATCGAGTTGGATTTGAACTCTTCTACTTTTTTGTGGTGCAATTCCAAACTTAACTTAGAAAAATTCCTACTTGACATGCTATTTGTTTGTGTTAAGTTTGAATTAAGGAAAGAGCTCAGAGAGAAGTTTTTTTATAAGAATGAGAGAGTTAAAAGAAAAAAGCTTAAAGGAAAGTACAAAAGAGTTTGATGAAGAATTGACTTTTTTTACTTAGAGGGAGTAAGATTATTTATATAAGTTAACTCGGATTAAATGACCAAAATATCATGATCCAATTGTGAGTTATTTTCTTAGAGTAAAAGATAATTATATCTTTACGACTTAAAAATACCTTTAATAAATAAAAGAATAATATATTAAAAAATATAATAATTTTTATTTGAAAAATAATTTTCACTATAAAAGCATTATGTAAGAAATTTTTTAATTTGGGCTTAAAAGATTAAACTTTTAGATTGAAAAAATATTTTTTGTTATTTAACATTGAAATTGGATAAAAATAACTTTTAGTTTCAACGACAATCCTACGCCTAAATGTACGAGTGCACCTAATGTTTGATTCAAATAAAGTAAGAATTTCTTTTCACAAAAAAAAATAAGGTTAAATTATTAGACAAGTTAAAACAGACGCGTCAACTTTCCCATTTTTTCCAACAAATCCCGTTTTCAGTCTTAATCAGAGAAAAAATTAAACCCTGACTAAAGAAATGTGAAGAGCACCACATCCACCGGCGCAAGATAGCAGAAAGCCAACTCGGGCTCTAATCCCACGCGTAATTGCCTGAAAGAATCAACCCACACGTGTAGCATCATCTTCGCACGTGACAGAACACAATCCATCTTCGCATGTGCCACCAGACAACCCCTCCCTCTTCTTCCAACTGGCTTAAATTCTCCGCAGCAAATGAAAAAAATAAAAGAAGGTACTAAGTTTGGAGTACGGAAAGTGAACACTTTTTTTTATTTTACTGAATTTTACAAAATATAAAAAAAGGAAAATACGTAGAGAGAGAAAATAAAATCTAGAGAGAGAGGGGGGAGGTTTTGCCCACATTTTAGGAGTGAGAAAATCTAGTGAAATGGAGGAGGAAAAATAGAGAGGTAAATTTTTTTACTTATTTTTTATTTTTGTTTATGGGTGAGAGGTTGGATTCTGTTATTTCCATTTCAAGATTTTTTGTCAGATCATCGAGAGAGAAAGAAAAAAAAAAGAAAAACCTAGAGATAAAAAATTGAAATAATGTAATTTGTTGTTGTATATTGATCTATATTTTCATGTATATTTTGTGAATATTATTTTTTTGCTGTAGAAAAACAAAGAGGATATTTGAAGTAGAAATTGGGGGATTGAGATTGAAATTGGAATCGAAAACCTTTCCCAGCGGTTACAAAGGGAGGGGGAATCCAGAGAGAGAGATAGAGAGAAAGAGAGGAATTAGTTTAATGTTCAATTTGCATTGTGATCGTTTGCTTTCGCGATGGCGGCGGCGAAAGCAGCTGCTATTGTGGTGAGGCGGAAGGAGCGGCCTGTTGAGGAGCTTTCCAATGCCACCGAGATAATCTATGAACCAGAGGTACGTAATATTTATTATCTTTTTATTAGGGTTTCGTTTAATTTTATCAATCAGAAACATTTGAATATTAAATTCAGTTTTCGTATTTTAATTAATAGTGTTTTAAGGTTCGAACTTTTGATTCCTTTAAATTAACCGTGGAATATGTGGAAACATTGGTAATGTTTATCATGAAATTTTCTGTATCAGTCCATTGTGGTGTTGAGTGCCAACGTTAGGAATTAGGGTTTTGGGTCCTCTTTGGAAATTGGATATTTTTCTTTCCTTTCTTGTTGCGCTTAGTTGTGCTACAAAGTATGGCTCTATGTTAGGCCTGCATGGAGTTTAGATGCAAGTTTTTGCTATTATGTGGTTTTAGATATTACAAAATTAGAGCAGTTTTTGTGCAATGGATTATACTTACTGGATTTTGTTTAATGATGCTTTATTTGATACAGTTTGATGTGCTTTTTAGATCACACCTGTTTTGAGACGGATTTATTACATGCAAGGGCCAGTGGATGAGATGGATCAGAGTATTCAGAAGCATATGGTGAGAACAGGGTAATCTGCAATCTGTGTTCTTAACTTGCAAATGCTTTTTCTTTATTAATCATGTTAGTGTAATGTTTTAAGTTGAAAGAAGGAATAACATTTATTTGTTGGTATGAACAAATTAAAGTGCCAAATTATTTGCATTTGCTGCCCTCTTTGGATATAAATTTTGGAGGATGAAAAGATTGGTGGAGAATGAGGAATGATAGAAAATTACCGTACTTTTTCATTCATGTGCTATCCAGGAATGATTTAGAAGTGGAATGCAAGAAAATGATGTACTTATCTCTTAGTTTTGTCTGTATCCCCAATCTTTTTTGTTTTGCTGGATCAAATTTGTTGCCTAAGGTAGCGAATGCAGTCTATCTTTTCCATTTTCTCAGCGTTCTCAGTACCAAGTAAAAAAGTGCTTGCAATGTGTGCACCCTTTCCTGACTTAAATATCGGATAACATCTACTCAGCATATATGGCTCCTATTGTGGGGTTGGAATAATTTATCTAAAGCTGCCTGGTGTTTTGGAATATAACTTTCACTGCATATTTTTCTTTAAAAATTTTATTTTTATTTTTGTTGCAGCCATTACATAATGCTAATTTTCCGCACTGTTCCGTATTAATGATGAAAAGATTTGAAACGTTAGTGGTTTACTTCTAAGTAACAACCCTTACAATGGTCGTAATGTATAATTAATTATCTTTTTATAAAAAATTCTGCTGAGTAAAGTTTTCAATTCCATGACTAAGATGATATGATTATCAAAATTTATGACTCTCATGAATTTGTAAGTTATGTTTTATGGATGTTCTTTTGGTCTGTATGTTGCTATTTAAGTTTTTAACCACTATGTGTGTGGTGCTATGAATTATTGTGATTGTCTCTTACTAATGTTTTGAAATATCGATATAAGTAATCCAACAATGCAGTGGATTATAGCTGAATCTTTTCTTTTGTGATGGTTGAATCAAAAATTATTTTCACTTCCTATTAGTTTTGTTGCATATGGTAAATTGTTTTTTTTCTTTGGAGAATAAGGCGGAAAGACATATTTGTTAAAAGACATGTATCTTTGGCTTTCCGTTTATTATAATTGTAGCTGAATCTTTATAGCTGAATCTCTTCTCTTGTGATAGTTGAATAAAGATTATTTTCATTTGCTGTTAGTTTTGTTGCATATGGTAAATTATTTTTTTCTTTGGAGGAAAATGCATAAATACATGTTTGTTAAAAGGCATGGGTCTTTGGCTCTCTGCTTATTATTTGCTTAATTCTGGTTTTTTATCTTAGGTACCATCAAAAACCGTAAAGAGATTAATTAGGCATTACATGAGTCAAAAGATTCTTACAAAAGCAGAATCTGGAACCGCCAGCGTGTGCTCTGCTCCTTGTTCATCTTGTATGCACCTTAGTGTAGCTCAAATGGGATCGAAGAGTGATGAGTTTTCTGATGAAACTGATCGTGTTGCTGTGGCAAGTCAGTACTCTATCAATGAGGATAAAGAAAGTGAAAGATTACAGCATAGCCCCTGTAGAGCAAGCAATTTACTCAGTGTCAATTCAAGTGATGATTCTTACTCTGAAAATATAGAAAGTAAAGCAACTGTACAGCCATCCAATGTATCTGATGTGTCAGAAGATGTTGGGATTCAGAGAACCTTCTCTAATAAGTATGATGGTTTCAAAGGTGTTGAAGGCCATAATGATAATATTTCATGTGCTAGTAGAGCCATTGATGCAAATGTAGGTTTCAGTTATTGTAATAAGGATTTAGACAGTAAGAATTCATCTCGTAGTTCAGTGTCTATTTGTAGTTTAGGATCTGGAAAGGTGCCCTCCTCGCAGAATCTAGGCTTGTCAGAACTTCCTTCTATAAAGGAGGTAGATGCTGGCAGTAGTTCACTGAGGATCCAAAGACCACATTCTCCTTCTCAAAGTGGCAAGAGTGCTGTTGGAGGCAGTTCTGAGATTCCCAAAATCCATCCAAAGTCAGAAGCAGATATTGACAACGATAGTGGGGACCCACTGGATAAAGCTGGTAAAAGTTTGAAGGAAGATGAGCAAGATGAGTCGAATGAGTTGGTTAAGTTACCTGACAAGCAGGATTCTCCTTTGCAAACAGTTTCTGGAGATGAGAGCCATGAATCTGATGCCATAGAACATGATGTAAGTAATTTTATTTTTATTCTTTCTGAGACTTGTAATGAAGAAAGTGTGCATGCATGACTGGTACTAGAATTTTTTAGGACTGACATTATGGAGTTTGTCTCTTTAGCTTAACATGGTCAATCTGAGAGGAAAGATTTTAAAGATTCCATATTTTAATTGGTTTTCCCTTTGCACTTGGAGTGCATGTGCCATCACTAGGAGAATGTAAGTATTGATTATGATATTCTTGAACTTATTTTAAGGTTCTGACTTTGGTCAGATCCTATACTCTTCTAGGTGATGTTAAATGAATGTTTTAAGGGATAATGAATGCGTTGAAAATCAATAAGCGGTCCTTGAACATGTCAAATGATTTAAGAATATTAAACAGGATTCCATCAAAATTATATTACCTAATTAGAAGATTCCTTTTCTTTTTACATTATAGGACTGGTAATTTTTTTTTGCTTTTTTTTTTTAATCTATTAATACTTAGTTCTATATCAATAAGTTTTGCTAATTTATCTTTTCATTGTTTCTTGAATTTGTCTGGAATAGGTTAAGGTATGTGATATTTGTGGGGATGCAGGACGAGAAGATTTGCTTGCTACATGTAGCAAATGCGCTGATGGTGCAGAGCACATGTAAGCTAACAAATCCCTTTCTCCATATGTTTATCAGCAGGTTTTTATTCGAGTGGTGCTAAAAAAGAAAATTCCACATATGTTAAATTAAGGTTATTCTGGGCACATAAATATAACAAGGGCCTCTCCACTTATTGTCATTTGGTTTTATGTTGGATGCCCATCTTAAAATTTAAATGACTTGGTATCAGAACAGGTGTTGCCCATTTGTAAGCCCTTCTGTAATAGGTTTGTTATGCTTATGATGTGAAGTTCATGCTGCATGATGGGCCCATTATACCTACACTTGAAGTTCTTGCCACGCTACATGTCTGTCCTCCCTACATGTGAGGGGGAGTATTAGAGTGGTGATAAAATGAAAATCCCATATCTGTTAAATTGTGGGTATCTTGGGCACATAAATATAACAAGTGCCTCATCACCTATTGCCAATTTGTTTTAAGTTGGATGTCCATCTTAAATTTTAATAGCTTTATTGCATTTCTATTTAATTTTATCTATGCGCCAATATTCATTGGTGAGTTTTACGTTATTAATGCTATTGATCAGTTACTGTATGCGAGAAATGATTCAAAAAGTTCCTGAAGGTGATTGGCTTTGTGAAGAATGTAAGCTGGCTGAGGAAACTGAAAGCCAAAAGCAAGGTTAGTCAAACAGATGGAATAAAAAATGGCACTCTGACAAGAGCACGTGCTGACCTCCTTTTGCAATTGAATTTTCAAGGTTTGGATGCTGAGGGAACAAAGGCAAAAAAACCTAGCTCAAGTACACAAAGCTTGGGTAAGAGACATTCAGAAAATCTGGAGGGTGCTTCAACTCCGAAGAGGCAGGCTGTTGAAACAAATATGGTATCACTGAAATCATTGAGCCCCAGCGGAGTATCTGCTTTGTCTCGAGAGGGTTCAGTTAAGAACTTAGACAAGGGGAAAGTGAGGCCATCTCCTCCAATTTCTCTTGGCAATCATTCTGGTAATGATATGCCAGAAACTGTATGCTCTCCTACTTCTGGTCCACGGCTGCAAACACCAAAGGGTAAGTGAATTGAATTTGTTGGCTAAAACTTTTTTCCATATTTGTTAATTTTAAGCATTGGCATACTGTTCTACTTAATACAGGTGCCTTATTGAAATCCAATTCATTCAATATCGTAAATTCCAAACCCAAAGTGAAGCTTGTAGATGAAATTGTTCTTCAGAAACAGAAAAGTGCTAGAGAACATGCATCCCTTGATAGCAAGGAGGAACCTGCTAGAATGATGGGTAAATCAATGTCATTTAAATTCAGTAAATTCAGATGGTTAGATGCTGGGGAATCAAAATTTAAAATGCTATCATCTAAATATCTTCATGCTCAAGATCTGAAAGGATTAAAACAAGTTAAAGAGCGGATATCCTTAGAAAGGAAAAACTTCTCAAAATTGGATCGCTCTAGTTCTACTGTTTCTACACCTAAGGTTGATCAGAAATTGACACCTAGTGCTGATACAATTTCTCCTTCATCTGCAACCAACAACCGAGAAACTAAGGTTGCTCGGTCTGATGGAAAACCAAGTACTTTATCAAGATCAGCCAGCAATCTAGCTCGTAAAGGTAAAATGCAGTTACTTCTGGTATGTTGTGACATTCTGATGGAGACACTGCTAAATTTTTTTGTCCTCTTTATAGTGTTCAGTTTAACCAGATTGCTTGCTTGTGTATTCCATTTTTTACCTTATCTTTGTTGTTGTTGTTGTTGTTGTTTGGCCGAATACAACAAGTTAAGAGCATTCTTATTATTTTGCAGCTGTTGGAGTTTCATCCACCAATGGGCGCATTTCTTCTGAACAGAAGTTAAACCAAGTAAGCCTGAAGGAGGACCCCTCATCAAGTTCTTCATGGGCAGCTGAGAGGCAACCTAGTAACTTTAATGGAGTTATGTCAGATGGGCTATCTCGGTCACTAGATTTAACAAATCAGGGTGAGAAATCTAGGGAGAGCGCTGTTAGTCACTCCTCTATAAGTTTTCCATGTTTAAAATGCAAAGAAACGGGTCATTCAGCTGAATATTGCTCAGTCTCTCAGTCTTCTGGTGCTGATATTTTTGCTTCAAGAAGTTCTAGGGAGGAGATAAATAAAGGCAATAAATTGAAAGCTGCAATTGAGGCAGCTAAACGTTTGAAGCCTGGAATATGTGAAAGAACTTCTCAAGAGCCAGCATCAGTTTCCAATATGGCAAAGAATATGATTTCTGTTGAAGGTACACATGAAGTGCAAACAAATCGTTGTAATCAGGCTTCCATTGGTAATATGAAGCTGCTTAATTCACATTCCACTGATGCTGTCTCTGTAGTTGCTTCTGTTGGCAATCCTTCTGTGAGAGATTTCACTGTTCCTCCTTTAGCCACAGAGTCTGCTGTCTTGAAGATGTCAGCCATCCCAGAACATGAACACATCTGGCAGTAGGATTCTTGTCCTATTGAACTATTTTCTTTTATTTTTTTTAGGTTAAAAAGATGCTCCATTTTGGTGTCATTTTCATTTTTTTGCTGCATCACACTGTGCCATGAGATGTTTCTTACATGAGAGATTCTGTTACTTTTATGCAGGGGGGCTTTTGATGTGCATAAAGACGGAAAACCTCCTGAGTTTTGTGGTGGAATTCAAGCCCACCTCTCAACCCTTGCATCACCTAAAGTGCCTGAAGTTGTCAAAACCTTTCCACACAAAGTTTCCTTGAATGAAGTACCTCGCTTGAGCACTTGGCCAACACAGTTTCATGACACTGGTCCTAAAGAAGATAATATTGCTCTATACTTCTTTGCCAAGGACCTTGAAAGGTAGAGTTTGAATATACGTTATTTCACCTGTTCACACCCTCCCCCTCTTTCTCTCTCCTTTCTCTAACCGGGTTGATCATTGATGCAATTTTTCATTTCATTTAGTTTTTTAAAAATTTATTTCTGCTGCTTATGTTGCAGTTATGAGAAGAACTACAAGATTCTTTTGGATACCATGGTCAAGAATGATTTTGCCCTCAAAGGAAATTTTGAAGGTGTTGAACTTATGATTTTCCCATCCAACCAACTTCCTGAACATTGCCAGCGTAAGGATTTTTACAAAATTGAGATATTCAAATACAGTATAGTACCCTGTAATTTTACTTTTGGTTGGATTATATTCTCTGACCCAAGATTCATGAGAAGGCAAGGATAAAGGGATATGTCTGTTTGTCTACTCAACACTATGTGGCTTTGTAGGTGCTGATAAACCATGGTCACTGGTTCCAATTTTGATATTTGTGTCTCCAAATATAAACAGCGATGACTCAAAGAACTCAATCCTTGACCATTTGCCTGGATATGGAAATTCCGATAATATTCATAACCTCCTAATGTGCTTTAAAACTTCCCCTTGATTTTTCCCATTGAACTCAGGAAACATTTTGACAAAAAACAGAGGCGATAAGAGGAGGTTGAGAGCACATTGACCTCATAAACATTTTGATTTTTCCCACAACGCAGAGTTTATTTTTGGATTAATGGACAAATTTGCCCACCATATGGATCTAACTAAAAGTGTCATCCACTGAAATCCTTAAGTTGTGGGGCTGTTTAGATTTAAGGAATTGATTTGATTGTCTTTATAGCATGAGGCTACCGGTTGTAAGCGTTATAATATGATACATTAAAGACCAAATTGTAGGCAGAGTTTTTTATTTTTTGGCCAGTTTATTGTAGGCAGTATTTTGAGTTATGTCATCTCTAAGTGTTTCAATCAAAGAATAGTTATGATGGAAAAAAAAAAAAAGGAAATGTCGTTTTGGTTATAAAATTCGCTTGAAGTGACACAGAAAGCCTCTGTTGCTACTTAGTTTTTCCTTTTTCTCATCAGCTTCAGTGCTGCGCACTGCATTAGAACATGTTTACAGTACTGTAGGTTAGATCAAAGGGTAGAAATTTGTTCGTAGACTATAGGTGTGCTGATGTATTGCAAATGTTTACTGTTTCTTTAGCACATTTTCCATAGTTTTGTTGTGGGTTTTGGCATTTTACTGTTTGGTTTTGGTTTGATATCTTTGACATCAATGGTACTGTTTACAGAATGTATTTAAAGGAAGGTTTGGAGAGTGACTTCATTCTGTTTTATGTAGATCATTTACTTGGAGTTATTAGTCTTGTTTATTGTTTTCACCGCATGGCTTCTTGTTTCGGCATTAGCACAACTCATTAAATTGCAAATTAGCGGGGGCAGACGATATGAATCCTTTTTTTCTATTCCACCTAGTTGATGTGATATTATATGGGAAATTCTTAGATATTGTGGAAAAACTAAGAAATAAAACTGTGAAAAACTAAGAGAAAAAACTGAACGTATATTGAAAAACTGGTTATTAAGAATTATACTAGCACCTTAGGTTTATATACAACTAACTAGGGGTTAAACTAGGAAACTAAATCTTCCTAAAAACTGATCCTATAATTGAGGGATTGTCTATCGTAATTTTTTGTCCTTAATTCTAGAGATATAAATATAAATATACAGATTACAAGATTACAACCAGCTGTAAATAAGTGTTTTTCCACACTCCCCCTTAAGCTGGTGAATAGGTGTTTTCTATTCCCAACTTGGAAATAATTTCTTGAAATGTTGTACTGCTGAGACCTTTAGTCAACACATCTGCAAGCTCACCCTTAGTTAATACATAAGGTGTACAAATCAACCCATTGTCTAGTTTCTCCTTTATGAAATGTTAGTCTACTTCAATTTGTTTTGTTTTGTCATGTTGTACAGGATTGTGTGCAATGCTTATTGCAAACTTATTATCACAATAGAGTCTTATTGGTCCATCCCACTTGATCTTCAATTCTTCTAGGATAATCTTTAACCATAGTAGTTCACAAATTCCTTGAGCCATTGCTCTGAACTCTGCTTCAGCACTTGATCTTGCCACCACATTTTGTTTTATACTCCTCCAAGTCACAAGATTACCACATACGAAAGTGCAGTAGCCTGAGGTGGATCTTCTATCAGTTACTAAACCTACACAATCAGCATCTGTTTATGCTTCTAGAACTAGCCCTGAATTTCTTTTGAATAAAATACATCTCCCAGGATTGGCCTTCAAATAGTGCAATACATGGTAGACTGCCTGTAGGTGCACCTCTTTAGGACTATGCATAAATTGACTTACCACACTCACAACATATGCTATATCAGGTCTAGTATGTGAGAAATAAATGAGTCTTCCAACTAATCTTTGGTATATCTCTCTATCTACAGCAGCATCTTCATTAGCTTGTCCTATTTTGTCGTTAGGATCTGTAGGGGTATTTGCAGATTTACATGCAAGCTTCCCAATTTCCTTTAGAAGATCCATTACATATTTTTGTTGTGAGATGAAAATACCATGGTATGAGTGAGCTACTTCAATTCCTAGGAAGTACTTCAATCTCCATAGCTCTTTTATCTCAAATTCTCTAGCCAATCGCTGTTTTAGAGATTCTCTCTCTTTTCATCATCTCCAGCTACAATTATATTATCAACATACACTAATAAAATTGTGACTCTCCCTGAATTAGAGTGCTCGATAACAATGTGTGATCTCCTTGACTCTGTTTATATCTTATTGCCAGCATCACTTTGGCAAATCTCCTGAACCAAGCCCTAGGAGACTGTTTAAGGCCATATAAAGCCTTTTTTTAGCTTGCATACTTTGTTTGCCTCTAGAAGACCTCTAAATCCCGGTGGAACCTTCATATATATTTCTTCTTCCAAATCACTGTGTAGAAAAGCATTCTTTACATCAAATTGTTAAAGCTGCCAATTGTAATTTGCAGCCAATGATAACAAAATCCTAACTGTATTCATCTTGGCAACTGGAGCAAAAGTTTTCTGATAATCCACTCCATAGGTTTAAGTGTAGCTCTTAGCCACTAACTTGGCTTTATACCTTTCAATAGTATCATCCGCCTTGTATTTTACAGTGAAAATCCATTTACACCCTATTGGATTTTTTCTTTTAGGCAACTCTACTAGTTCCCATGTCTTATTTTTCTCTAAGGCCTTCATTTCTATTTTCATGGCTTGCCTCATTTTCTCATTGGATAATGCCTCAGATAATGTAGTTGGAACAGAAATAGTGTTTAGGCTCATAAGAAAATTTTTGTAGGATGGTGAGAAATTTTCAAATGACAAAATTAGAGATTGGGTATAGTGGATGCTTAGTACATTCTTTGGCTCCTTTCCTAATGGCAATAGGTAAATCATAATCACTAGTTATAGTTTTAGGAGATTCATGCTCATTTTGAGAAACAGAGTCAAAGACTATAGTTACCTCATTTCCAGAGTTAGGATCAGGTTCTTGGACTGGCACTAGTTCAGGATCTGGAACTTTCCTTCTTGAGTACATCTGTAATTCCTTCATAGAATCAAAAACAATATTTTCCTTTGTCACATCTGTGTTTGGAATGGGTTCAGTCTCAAATTCAGTGTTTGACTTGGGCTCATTAGAAACAGGTTTCGACTCAGAAGAATTAATGGGTGAAAATGTGGAATAAGAGGACAAATCAAGCAAAAAGAAGTCTTTATCCTTATCTTCCATGAATGAAGTCTCCCATTGAAGATAAGGTTAAGTAAAAAATGGTTTACTTTATTCAAAAGTGATATTTGTAGACACAAAGAATTTTTTGGTTGGAGGATGATAACATTTATACCCTTTCTGAGTTGATGAATATCCCACAAAAATGCACTTAATTGCTCTAGGATCCAACTTTCACCTATTGTGACTTTGAACATGAACAAATGATGTACAATCAAATATCCTAGGTGTGAGGTTGTTTGTGGTATTAAAGTTGGGATAGAATTGTGAAAGTAGTTCCATAGGAGTTTTCAATCCCAAAACCCTTGAAGGTAATCTATTTATAATGTGTGGCAGTGAGAACAGCTTCCCCCCAGTAGGATTTGGGTACATTTGCTTGAAAAAGTAAAGCTCGGGTTGTGGTTAGTAAATGACTATTTTTCCTCTCTGCCACTCCATTCTGCTGTGGACTATTAACACAAGATGACTCATGGATAATCCTTTCCTTTTGGAAATAGGTAGATAAACTCTGGTTGAAATAGTCTCATACATTATCAGATCTAACTCTCTTGATTTTCACTCCAAATTGATTCTGGATCATGTTTTGGAAGCTCAAAAATACACTATTCGCATCTGATTTGGATTTAAGTAAAAATATTCAAGAGACTCTGGTACAATCATCTATGAAAGAAACAAACCACCTTGCACCTGAAATATTAGGACTTGTAGAGGGACCCCATATGTGACTATGAATCAAGTAAAAAGGAGTAGAACTTTTTTATTGCTAACTAGAAAAGACACACGTCTATGCTTTGCCAGTTCACAAACATCACAATGAAAATTTTTGGCATTTAATCCTTTGAACAAAGAAGGAAACATGTTTTTCAAAGTTCCAAAAGAAGGATGTCCAAGACGAAAATGATAAAGCCAAATTTTGTCTTTATTCGGATATTTTTCATAAAGAAATGACAAAGGTAAATTATGCTTAATATTACTTGTGTTGTTTGATGTCTCAAGATAGTATAGTCCATCATTCTCCTTAGTAAGTCCAATCTTCTTTCCTGAACTCTGGTCCTAAAATTCACAATAAGAGGGATAAAAAGTCACTTTGTAGCTCATATCTCTGGTAAGTTTTTGTATAGATATCATATTAGTAGACAATCTAGGAACATGAAGAACATTTTAAGAACAAACGAGGGATTAATTTGAACATCTCTTAATCCTGCCACTGTAGTAAGTGAACCATCTGCAACAATAATTTTCTTATTACTAGGACACAAGGTATAAGTACCAAACTTCTGTGAGGAATGTGTCATATGGTCTGTGGCTCCTGAGTCAATGACCCAAGAACTCGTAATAAGCTTAACTGAGACATTTAATCTATGAAAACCAGAAGCTTTACTTGAACTAGAGACTGTACCCAAGGAACATACCCTAGTAGGCTCTTCAAGGGTTTTCAATAGATTTCTTAGCTTTTCAATCTCTTCCCTGTCCAACTCTTCTTGTTTCCGAGACATCTGTAGTACTTCGGTGGTTTTTCCAATTGACACTTCCTCAAATTGGGTGGTAGTGATATCTTTCTTTAAACTAAAACAAATCTTAAGATATAACCAAAAATGACTCTTACCAATGAAGGCTAAAGAAGGGAAAAATAAAATGGCTATGAAGGCCTTAACAAGGTTCGGCAATGAAGGCCTGAAATAGAAGTCAACAATGAAGGCTGAAAATTTTGCTTTCCAAGAAGAGCCTAAAGCTCTGATACGATGTGAAAAAACTAAGAAATAAAATTGTATGGAAAACTAAGAGAAAAACCTAAATGTATATTGAAAAACTACTCATTAAGAATTATGTAAGCACCTTAGGTTTATATACAACTAATTAGGGGTTAAACTAGAAAACTATATCTTCCTAAATTGAGGGATTGTCTATCCTAATTTTTTATCATTAATTCTAGGGATACAAATACTTAATTCTAGAGATACAAATATAAATATACAGATTACATGAGTACAACCAGCTGTAAATAAGTGTTTTCCCACATATATGAAATTATTGGAATGTAATTCAACTCATAATTTTTGGTCTATCTTTACATTTTTTCCTGGCTTGTATCAAATCAATGGCTCCTTTGCACCAGTGCATCTGTCAGCAAATGCACAGAACATTATGTTCTCATTCTCTTAAGGTGTACTTGACAGGACTGGACCACTATTTTATCTTATATCCTTTGGGAACTATGAACTTTTAGATCTAGTTTGGTTTGTGTCTCTTAGTTTTCAGTTTATTTTTTGTTTGTGTTGGATGTTATGATTCCCTGTTTTTATGTTTAATATGTTTTATTCTCTTAATCGAGATGGAAAAAAATAATGCTAAAATTTCTGATTTTTCTGTTTACAGGGTGGAATACCTTATTATTCCTCTGGGGTGTTTTCAAAGGAAGAAGAGCAAACTGTTCAAATTCCTCAAAGAGTGCATGCATTCCTGATGCAAGTGTGGCATGTTTGGAGAGAGAGCTATCTGCTGATATTCCTCAGCTGGTAGACAATGAATCAACCACATGTAACAATTCATGCAATGTAGTCCCAGTAACCATTGCTGTTGGAAAGACATGTATCTCAACTGATAGAGTTGGTGATAATAAGGTCTCTTCTTTTGAGCAGACATATGTGGGAATAAAAGAAAAATTGGAGCAAGATGGCAAAATTGACACCAATTTTTTGTCGAGAATTTTAACAAGCTGCACAAAGGTGCATCCAGAAATGAAATGTACCAGTCCTCTGGTAATGTGTTCTTATGTCTGTCTATTACTTAAGAAAACTGTCAAGCTCATATTGTTGCTATAGTTGGTTGCTTATATTTATTCTTGCCATTATTTGCTAATCTTCAACCCTACAATGAGCTATAGAGTGTTCCTTATTAAGTGACCTGATCAAATTAATAAGGAACTAATATATTCCTATTCAAGAAATTAAGAATCTAGTTCTTTTTTCTTTCTTATCAATGAATGTGTGGTGCAATTTATGTTGCAAAGTGCTTATATAATTTACACATTTTGGTCTCTGATTCTTTTCAGTTTCTTAGTTTGCAGAAGACTGCTGTTGTTTCTCTTTTCTAATGTTAGTGCTGTAAAAATTTATTTTAAGGTTCATTTGTGTAAATTCTAAATCTTTTAAATATTTCATAGGCCCCAATTGAAATATGACTGGGTGCTGTTGCCCTATTATAGCTCTTCGCATCCTTTCATGAGTCAACATGAAGTCAAATTCCATGCAATCATGGATTATTGTTCCATTTCTTTTTTCTATATTTATATCGCTTCAATGTGAATGTTCTTACTATGATGGGCGGCAGATGGCTCCTCAACTGTTATTGATTCAAAGCAGAATGCTTGCCTGTGCATAGGGCTGGTTTTGTCCCGTTATCAGTGCTTGGGTACAATATTTGGCTGTGTTTGTTCTTCATTTTGGATAAGTGTTTAGCTGTGTCTTTGGACTAGTGTATGATGTTTCTTCCCTTCCCTCTCTGCCCTACTGCCCCCTAACAGAAAAAGGGGAACACACATTGTTTCTCTGGTATCTTCTGTGGACCTCATTAAATAGGTTAAATGCTCCATTACAATCCTTGTGCCACTTTGTACTCATCAGTGTTTCATCTCAAATATTAATTGTTTTCTCGTATTTTTCTTAATATATTGTTATCACTTGGGTTATGTATTTTAAGACTAATATTTTATATATTTTGATCTATGTATTCTTAATATCTAATATATTTTCTTTTCTGGTTGAAACTCCTTTGTATTCGGCCAATTTGGTTGGATATGAACTTAAGACTGCTATAGAGTTTGGGCCATAAATATGGGGAAAACGTTTTGCATCACAGTTCTACTGAATTACTGAGCAGATAATTCTGATTTTGACCTTTATCAGCAGGATCAATAGTGTCTGAAGTCCTTCATCTTGCTCACCTTGGAAGGATTAGTAATCACTGGAACTTTATTAATTTTGATTTTTTTTTTTTTTGTGAGGTGGGGAGGATGGGGGTTGGTTGAAAGAAAGTGTTGGTATTTCAAAAATTTTATTAGTTTATTTGTTGACTTGTGTGTTGAGTTTTTATTGTATTATTTTGAATTTGTTGCTTTTGTTTTTAGGCAAACGTGTAAAAAAAAGAACTCCTTTCTATGAATGTTGACCTCAGCCATTATTTTGCAGGAAGAGAGGAGAGTTCCAGATTGTGGATTCGACACAGAGCTCAAACCTTGCCTTCAAGCTACTGAAACCAACAGTGGTTCTTTTAAAGTTGAGAAAGAGGAAGTTCTTCTAGAAGAAGATTATCCATCTTTAAAAGATCACCCTACTGGAAAACAAGAGGCGGTTGTTGTGGGGAAGATTGATGGAAATTCTATTAAAATGAGGAATTCCAAGGATGATGGTTATGCTGATGGAAAAACTTCTTCAAAGAGAGATCTTAACTGTTGGCAGTCAAATCATCGGAAACGCCCATACATAGATCTTACAGAAACAGTTTCAGAAATTTCTACCGATACAAGTCAAAAAATGCCATGGTGTGAGGTGAAGAGAATTTCTGTAGATGGAGGAAGTGATAATAAAAAGCTGAATACATGTTTCAGTGGAATATACCAATATAGCAGTGCTAGAGATCAAGGTCCTTTTAGTGATAGTTTAGCATCAGATAGACATGATCTGGGTTCCAGCTCTTCTGTTGAAGAGAAGAGATGTGACATTGCTTGTGAAGAAAAAGTTATCCCTGAGGACATGGGAAGTAGTGAAATGTTCTTCTTTCCGGTGGATTCACATCGTGCAGGGGAATTTCGGTTGGAGGACAACTCTAAATCATTGAAGGAGCTGTATGTAAAAGATGAGGACCGAGTTCATGATGCCTCTCCCAATCTTGAGCTTGCTTTGGGGGCTGAGACGAGAACACCAAACAAGAAAATCCTACCTTTCTTCGTCGGAATGGTAGACAAAAATGACAACCATGACAGGGCCCAAAATAAGGTAACAGGAAAGCAAGAGGAGGATGATGTATCTGCCTCCCTTTCCCTTTCCCTCTCATTCCCTTTTCCAGAGAAGGAACGTAATGTGAAGTCTGTTTCTCAAAAAGAGCAGCTCTTGCCCGAAAGGCATTCTTTAAATACTTCACTGCTACTGTTTGGGGGCTTCCCTGACGAATAGGGGTCCTTGGTTGTTTATACATTACTGTGCCCTTCATGAATGTGGTCACTAGCTCTCATGTGCAATTGGACTTCAATGGGGGCCTTGTGGGCTAACCCGCATTCCATTTGTTCATAACACATACAGAACTTAGCAACAACTTTTATCTTTTGTTTCGTCTTTTTTTTTGAGTGCATAGACATAGTTACGGCTGTTTGTATATAAAGAGAGTGGAAGCCGGCCTGCTTACAAGAAATTTGCAAACCATCCTTTGATCTATCATAATTTTGTTTTTAATTTTTGAGTGGGTAGGAATGTTTGCAGCATCTACTAATGATTTTTATAGGGAGTTGCAAGCACTGTATATAATGAATTGATTTGGTTTCATTGATGTGATAGCAAATCCCAAAGGGTTTAGTCACATCTGGTTGTATTGATGATGGCAAAGGTAAATTACCACTTCCATCTCGTTAATTCGAGTTTTGGAGTTCTAAACATTAATGTCACGAGTCGTGGTTTAAACTTAAGGTTTACGTGATTTTAAGATTTTAAAAAAAAAATTTTTTGTTTCGAATCAGTTTAATAAAAAATTTATAATAATTTATAAAATATTATTTATTTTGATTTATTAGATTTTTCGATTTTAAAAAAGTGGTGTAAATATTTATATCTTAAAATAAGTGAATATTTATATTTAAATATTAATTTTAGTACACAATTGATACTAAATTTATGGTATTTATTTACGATCCTGAAATTTTTTTTCATTTTAATGAAAGTTCATTGTTTTTGATTGCATATTTTTAATATCTCTAAAGTTGGTTTTGATATCATTTGTTATAGATCAAGATTTAAGTTTTAAGTTCACATAATTTCAAGACATGAAGTGATTTTTTTTGTATCTTAGATCAGTTTAATACAAGATTTACAACAACTTATAAAAAATTATCTATTTTGATCTATTATATCTCATAATTTTATCTCATAAAAATTGTTATAAAAAAAATGATATAAATATTTATATTGTAAGATCAATTGTAATATACAATTAATATAAAATTCATGACTTCTCTTTATAATCGTGATATTAATATTCAATTTTTTTTAATATATATTTTAATAATGGTGAATGAACATAGAAGTATTATATATACGAGGCCTAAAACCATTATATTACTAATAAGTTTTGAATTGGAATAGAATGAGATTTATGAGATGTGAGATGTTAACTGATTTATGAGACGAGTGAAAATCATCTCTTGATATTTATCACAAGCATCAGCAAAATAAAGTTATATATGGACCTAATGGTAAATTTATGATAATTGTTCTAAAGATTTGATAAAATATTATTAAATATATTTATATTTTAAAATATATAAACCAAAATTTTTTACATTTAAAATTCTTACAAGTTAAAATTAAGGAAAATTTATGCCATTTAAAAAATTAAAAAAAAAAAAAAAAAAACAGAATTGGTCGAACCAAACAGGAAATTATATTTTTGCACCACAGGTGATTAATATTTGCTTTCTGCTTCTAAATTTCCTGAACATATTTTAATAAAATTAATGACCTGTTGTTGACTGAATATGTCCATGTAATAGTGCATTTTGTGTTCCGAACGAAAGAGTTAATTATCACTTTCTATTAACATTTAAAGGGACTTCAGAAACATCAATTTAGTTCATCTGTCTTTTAACTGAATCCTCTTGTAGTGCTGTTTCATGTTTTCTTCTTGTCTTGACATAGTAGCTGTAAGTAGCATTGCTAACCCCCATTCATCACCAATATTACTTTGCATGGAGATGATGAAATGTTATCTGGTACTCTTTTGTGCCATGAATTGTCTCTTTTTTTTTTATTATTTTTTCATCTGAAATTTTGGTTATTCAGTTTGGATCCTCAATTCTTAATTTGTTGTTTTGAATTAGATTAGAAGATCCCTGCTACATGAAAACGAACACGGATTCCGGAAGGCAAAGCGATCAACATACTATGATGAAGGTTTAGAGAGGTAATCAGGTTATGCTTTATTCGCGACTTTGTCCATTGATATATGCTGTTATCTTTATATTAATCCGGAATCTTTCTCGCTTTACTGAAAGCAGAAAACCAGGGAGACCCTGAATGAAAAAATCACCCAACTCAATTCTGCCATCGACAGTGTATTCTCTCCTTTGAGAGGTGGCAATAATTCACCTACTGTGCCGGTCAAGACTGACCCTGTAGTAGAAGCTACTATGTGAGACATGTATTTGTTGCTTAGCCGTTACATTGAGTTTCAGCAATTGACGGTTCTACATGTTCTTCAATATCGAAGTCTGATTTTGCATGGTGTTCGAAAATTTTATATGGGATTATGCAGTTTTGATTAATTTTGTTGTTTTGGTATCAAACCATTAGTGTAATACTTTAAAGCACAAATTTCTTTTGCTTACTTTGAGAATGCAAATTAGAGCATTGAATTACGTGTGTGTTTATATATATATATATATATATATATATATATATATATATATATATGATAACGGATCTAATTGAGATGAATTTTTTTTATAAAAAATTTATATTATTATTTTAAAATTTTTAAAATTTAAGTTTTAATTTAATCGAATTTATTTATTATTGATGTATTAGCAAAAAGTACTAAACTCAAATGCTATGTTTGAAAATATGAATTGGATAGAGTAAAATTTTGGATTTTATTTGTTATATAAACTGTCATAATGAATTGCTCATGCTATACATCAATTAGTTAAGATTTAATTGGTTATAAATTTAAAAGAGATAAAAAAAAAGTAAAAATGCGGTTATTTATTAAAAAATATAAAAAAGATTAATTTTAAATTTATAAATATCTATAAGTATTTTAAATTCAGCATTGAATAATCATTCAATAAATTTATAAATTTAAAAAAAGATCATAAAAATTGCATTTACATGTGTTTTATAATACAATTTATATTAATTTTAAAATCCAAATCCTTCTTTCAAATTCAAATTACCAGCTATAAAACAAATTGTAAATGTAAAATTATAATATAATATAAAAAGTATGATTCTAAATTAGTTCCAATAAAACTTGAAGTCATACCAAATTTTTTTTATAGAACCCAAAATTTTTATCAGGAATTTATTATTCGAATTATCCTTAAATGTTATTATTATCTATTTATTTATCAAATTGAAAATAAGGTGTTTTTTTCTTTTTATTTTTAAATAATTTTGAAAAAAAGGCCAAAAAACAAAAAATGACCAAAACATTCTCTAGATTTGAGGTCCCTGTTTGTCGTCCACGCGGCAGTGCAAGGGCCAGTCCTAATGACTTTCTATTTTTTTTTCCTTCTAATTTCTTTCAAGATTTTAGATCAGACGAAGTTTCAAAATTATAAGCTATAAATCCCAAATCCATATACAGAGTTGTGGCATCCAGACAACCTCACCTTTATTTCCTTTCCCTTCATCAAAAAGAAAAAAATTCCCAATTTTTTTTTTTTTAATTACATAGTGGGAATCTCTGGCAAATGAAGTATTTATATCACAAACCTCAGCTTACCAACCTCATTACATTTTCAGATGGAAGGCAATGATAATTATACGCCTAAGGTATTCTTAATTTCCTCCTGCCTATCTTTTTTCTTTCTTTTTTTTTTTTTAATTTTAGTTTAGAAGAAATATCTTTGACTTCATTTTCCTTTGCTGCTTAATTTTTGTTATCTGGGTTCTCTTTTTTTCTTTTTTTTTTTTTCTAAATTCATAACTGAATTCTGTTACTGGGGTTGGTTTTTTTTCTGTTATGGTTGTAACTGAATTTGTTAGAAATTATTGGTATTTTACAAGTTAGAAGTTTAGTAATGGAACTGTCATTGTTGGCATTGCAAATATTGTTAAAAGGAAAATTGTTTTGTCTGTGTTGGAAAACAAAGTTAAATGCTTAATGGAGTGATGAAAAGGAAGAACTGAAAAAATAAAATTAAAAGAGAATGATGATGGGCTTAGCTTAGTTACTGGAAAAATGTAGCAAAGAATGGGATAAGTTAGAATATTATTTTCAATTTTTTTAAGAATTGTCAATATATACATACATACATACATACATACATACATACATACATACATATACAAATATGTATACATATGTATATACATATATATATTGTCTTTGTTAGGTTGAAGTTGCTACTCCTTTTTTTAGGAAATCAGGGTGTCCAAAAGCATGAAACCCTTTTTTTTTGTTATTTGATTGTGACGAATGAGATTCACTTTCTTATGGAAAATGCTGGCAAGTGGCAAATTCATGTATATATATGTATATATATGTGTATATGTATATCTGTATATAGATATACATATATATATATATGTATATAGATACATATATATACATATATATAGATACATATATATGCATGTATGTGTATATATATATATATATATTGTCTTTGTTAGGTTGAAGTTGCTACTCGTTTTTTTAGGAAATCAGGGTGTCCAAAAGCATGAAACCCTTTTTTTTTGTTATTTGATTCTGATGAATGAGATTCACTTTCTTATGGAAAATGCTGGCAAGTGGCAAATTCCTGCATTTTATGGTATTATTTGAATTTTGGAATTCATGACTATTTGCTTCCATGCTTATTATTGAACTACTCGATGTTGCTCACAGAACCATACGTTGGGAAAAATGTTTAAGTTACTAAGTGAACATTGTAGCTACGCATTTATAATTTCCTTTTGTTAAGGGAATTATAGAGTTGTTCAATGCCTTAAATCTAGAAAAGTGATGCTATACAGTATATTCTACCTTCTTGACTTGATCCTTTGGTGAATAGATAGTGCTATCATATTTTAGCAGCATTTGGTAGTAAACATGTTCACATTCTCATGTATAGTATACTTCTTGCATTAGATTTGTGTGCCTCCTTTATTGCTTTGTTCGTGTAGAGGATGCCTTGATGCAGTAGCCATTAGATGTTGTAGGTGTGTATTTGTATTCATGGCTTCCACCAGTGCCTTTGAAGAGATCATTTGCGTCGTTAATGTCTGTTAACATGTAAAGCTGCAGCAAGCCATTCCTTTCTCCAGTTCTAATACTTTTCTACTTTCCACTGACTTCTGGTTTATTAGTTCATTTATCTAATAGATATTTTTGTATAGTAGCAATTTTCAGAATAAAACAAAATAAGCGTATGTCTACACTTTCTTCCTTTTTTCTGCTCTTTTTTATTCATCCAGGTGCAAAATCTATGCACAAACAATTGTTATAACCTTCTCCATTCACATGAACAATGGCTATGTTAATTGACATACAATCCTTCCTCCCCATCTTCATAGCCCCTTTTTCTTTTCTTTTCTTTTTGGCAGGGGGAGGAGGCTATTAACGTATGGTTCCTTGAGATTAATGTTAATGCTGTATCTTTTGCCAATTTCTTTAAATAGTAAACGTTACCAATTTCTGTCCTCTTGTCTAGTTGGCTCAAACAAGGCCTTGCTGTGTGACTATCTGTATTAGTTCTAGGTTGGACATTTTAAGCACAGTGTATACCATATACTTTTTGTCTTTGTTTCCAAGATGTTGTGATTTTTTTTTCATTTCACTCTATAGCTACATCAACATATATATGATAAACAGTTCTAATTTCTATTCAAGGATTACTACAAAATTTTGGAAGTTGATTATGATGCAACTGATGAGAAGATCAGGTTAAATTATCGGAAGCTTGCACTGGTCAGTGCTCTCTTTCTCTCTCTCTCTCTTGTTTTCCTTCTAACTCTTTATATTTCTTGCCATTGCTTCATGGGTAGGCTCTCACTTTGTTGTTTCAGTAAACAGTTTCTCCAGTTAAAATACAATTCAGTTGACTGGAGAACATTCTATGATGTTGTTACAGAAGTGGCATCCAGATAAGCACAAGGGTGACAGTGCTGTTACTGCAAAGTTCCAAGAGATAAACGAAGCTTACAAAGGTAATTCATCTGCTTGGTTAGAACTTCCTAATTGCCATATGATTCCTGCTATATTTGAGTGCAACTTAATCAGTCAACCAATCATGGGATTTTATAGTTCTCTGATGTAGTCTTTTTCAAATGCATATCACTTTTAACTATATATATAATGTAATGCTGATATCTTATGATCTTCTCTTATCATTATACCCTTTTGCAGTGTTAATTGATCCTGATAAACGCTTAGAGTATGATTTAACTGGAATATATGAGATTGATAAGTATACTTTACGGGTAAGAATTTATGTTAACCTATATGGGATCATAGTCTAGAATTGTCAACTTATGTTTCTTTAGGTATAATTGGTTGATGCCACATTCTAATGGTATAGGAAACTCTGCAATTGTGATGCAGGAATATCTTACCAGATTTAAAGGAATGATTCTTACATGCAATGGGCTTGGTATTAGTCATACATCAATATGGTAATTCTTTTGACTGTCTTAAACTTTTTTCCCCGGGGGAATGGGGGTTAGGGGGGATTTTTCATGTCATTAGGGGGAGTCTTTTATGTAAAACTTCAACAGAAAAGGACCATTCTCATATCTGCTTGACTAGAACTTCACCTCATCTGGTTCATGAGCCCTTTTTTAGATTATTTTAATCTTCCCGATGCTGAAAGTGTTAATTTAAGTGAATTTGAGTTTTACAGACGATGATTGTTCTTATTCCTAGTTCAAAATATAAGGACCATGTGCATGACACATAGGACTGGTTCCAACTCTTCCCTAGTGATGCTTATAAATATTATAAACCTCTAGTGCAAGTGCATGATAGAAAATAAAGGTAGCTGTTGACATTAACATGGATGCCAAGTGGAGAAACACCTATATGAATCTAAAGCTTAGTATTGGTGTTTGGAGACTTCCAAATCCATTTGAAGCATTAGGGTGATAAAAATGATAAATTACTATGATTGCACAAAATTGCAATGATGATCAAGGGCATAAAACAATACTTGCTGAGACATCTACATAAAAATGAAGTCCTGGGTGTGGATATTCAGAGACTTCAACATCTAATCAAAACTTTTGCCTTATGTAGCATACTTTTAAAGGTATTAAAACATTGAAAGTCCAGTTATGTTACCTTGTTTGCTCCGGTCTAAGGTTTTATGCTAGCAATGTCTGTTATCACTCACTATGAAATGGATGAAATCTGTTTGGTTGGAAAAATATCCAGTAAAATGTGAATTTACATTTAATCTTGGATTTGATTTTTTTTAATTTTAATTGACAGAGGCAACAAAATATTGGAAATGCTGTCAATGTAGCATTTAAGACATAAATTAACAACCATTTATGGAAATTATATGCTGTAAAACAGCAATGAAAGCTAATAACTTTATATGATGAAAAGGTTCATGTTTGTTAGCTATACTAAAAATGAAATATGCAAAGAGGTCGTAGGAGGCTGTATGAATGGAGATGTGACTTCTCGGTTGAGTTTTCATTAACATGTTATTGTTTGTCAATTGTTGCTAGCTATAAGTCGATGGCAGTGGGAGAAATGGTTTGAGTTAAAATGAGAGAATGGCGGTAGGCTGGTAGGTCCGTAATAGGACATGTTTGTAATATGGCTGGATAACAATGCAGTTCTCCTAAGTGATGAGACTACAGTATTCCAAAATCCCTGGTCTAGCAAAAGTGCATCCCTTAGTGATTTTCAAGCTGCCTTATTGGTTGAATTGAAAGGTTGGGGGCGTGGGAGTATCCATAGAAATTGCATTGCATGTGCTTCCTCTAATTCTGTGTACACTAAAGGGTCACGGAATTGTTCTATTTGCAATGATGCTCTTCTTGATAACTGATCTTACAACATATAAATATGGAGGTCAAGTTTGAGCCTCTTCAGATAGTGTGCTATCCTATCCTAATCTTATTTCAAGCGAACTTAAAAAATATTTTATCTAATTAATGTCCACGTTAAAAAGTATATGTTGCAGTTATTCATAATAATGGAGATTGTATTTTATTTTCCTTTTGCAAATTTCTTTACTGGCATAAATTTCATAATTGCATGAAGACAATATTTGATGGCTGTAATTACTTTACATATTGAAGTAGCTCTAAAGTCAAGAACTTTTGTAGTTCACTTTCACCATACAGTTCATGATCAATGGAAATGGTTGAAGTTCAAATTGTTTCAATGCTTGTTCTTCCTGTTCCTCCTTTCCAAATGCCCAAGCAGACCATAATTTTTCCCCAAGGTTTCAACCCTTTCAGTTGATGCCTTTCCTCTTCACTATTTTGAATTCGACGGCGGTAACCTTATCACTGCCAAAAATTAGACCTTATGAGCAGGTTTTAAAGGGCTTGTGCAGAGTCATTTATTAGCATATTGGTCGATGATGCATTCCTTGATACTAAACAAAAATCGATAGTCGTTTTACTGACTTTGTATTGGAATTGGTTGTGGTACTAATAACCTTGTATATTCATGCAGGACACAACTAACAGAAACAAATGAATTTGCTGAAGAATAAGGTTAGCTCTAATTATTCTTTTTTTTTTTTGGTTGCAAAGGAGGGCTAGTGCCCTTGCAAGGGGGGGGATGGCGGGGTAGAACCCATGCCTACGTGACTTTCAACCGGCCTCTTAACTACTAGGCTAAGAGGGGAAAGTCAGCTCTTATTATTCATTACAGTGTATAAAGATTGCCTTGTTTATTTCCTTAGTGACTAAGAAATGTTGGTGAATTTGACATGCCAATGTCATAGGGCCACATTATGTACTTATCTAAGCCAAAAATGTATCCCGTCTTTGTTTTATTGGCGCAATTTCAATCGAAATTAGGCGTCATCGAGTAAAATAGACTTTTCATGCTGATGTGAGATGTGTTTCAATGAGGTATGCTTTAACTTGTATTATGAGTTTCATAGAGTAATCAAATGTGTAATTGATATATAGTTTAGACATGGCATCACTGATACTGCCATCTTACCTATCTAAATTTATGTCTAGAGTTCTTTACCCTTGCATCTTCATTTCTTTCTGTTTGTCTCTTCCAATGACCTTATCATTTGACTGTGCACTGACAAAGTTTAATGCTAGACTATGATGTGATATGCTTTCAAGTTTCCACACAATAATGTTGGAATAGAATAAGATCACCAACAAAAGGGATAATGTCATGAATGGCCCTAGGAAAATATTTAATATAATATTTAAATTTTAAAAATTTTTAATGTGATAATGTAACATTTGAAATGCTATTTATCTGTCACATATTATCATTTGCGAGTATCATATTAGTTAATAAATTTATATTTCAGTTATCATATTAAAATTTTTTTAAAGTTAAAATTTTGCATTAAACATTTCATTATGGTTTAAGGGTTGATCTTAAGATTAACCCAACAAAACTACTTTCATGAAAATGGAGTTTTTTTTAATAAGATTTCTATATTTTATAAGATTCCAATATTTTCATGAAAAACTATAGGTTTTTTGGGGATTTTATTTTATAATATTAACCCCAATAAAATTATTTTTCTTGGGAGGTTTCAACCCTCATGTTAGGACAACTATTGGGAATTACATCTCTCAAGATAGCAACAGGACAAGCCATCAGTATCATTTCTTTTATCACTATCTCTATTAACAGTTTGATAGCTTTTAGCTTTTTTTTTTTTTTTTGGGTCATTCAAGATATAATTAAAGTTTGAATTCAAGATTTCAATTTTAGAATTAACTTTCGTATTTATTTTATATTAAATATGTATAAAATATAAAAATTATTATGTAAAATTTCTATTAACATATTAAACATAAATATTTTTATTTTTAATTAAATTTATATAAAATAGTTTTAAATTTTTAAATCACGTAATTTTACAATTTTTTTATCGTTTTCCTATCGAATCCAAAATTATTAAATTTACTTAGAGCCGACTCCAATACCATTAGACAAAAATTAGTGGCTGAGTTGGAAAGCATTTGTATGGAAAGCATCTTCCAAATGCGAAATTGATGTTCCACGAAAGCAATCAAAGCATGTATTAATATCTTAATTGTGTTTTATGAAATTAAAAATTATAATAAATATTAATTTATTAATTAAACAATAATATAATTTTCAATCATTACGGCTGGTACACCTCTTTATTTTATAAAATTAAAATTGTGTGGATCCACCGCATCTACATGAATCATATGGTGCCTATTGAAAATTAAATAAATATTTAATGATAAAACAACAATTATTTGCAAAAAAATTAAATAAATAAATGGTCTGGACCAATTAGATACAACTAATTCTGTTTCATTTATTATTTAAACAGAGAGATAATTGTGATTCAAAATTAATATTTTTATTTTAAATGTTATTTTAACTGTAAATTTGTATAATTTTTTATTCATTTTTATTATGAGTTCAATTAATAAATATACATGAATATTGAATATGGTATTAATTAAAAAAATTAATGTTTAAAAACAGAAAGTTTTATACAATAAGTAATTTAATTCATGGTCTACTAACATTTTCTTTTGATTATTTGAGATAGAAATAAATTAGAACTCAAAACTTTTTTCTTTTCAAATTTAAATTTCAAAAAATTAAATATTTTAAAATTAACTTCGCATGACCAACCACAATTATAAATTGGATGTTGATTTAGAGAGTAATGAAGCTTCTAGGTTTGAGTTTGTATCAAAAATTTTTTACAATCCACTTTTTGTTGATATATTCACTTGCATATTCAAATAATTTTATGATTGTGTCTTTGCTTTTATAATTTGTTTTGTATGGTGTAATATTTTATTTGTTTAACTTTTAGAATTCATGGATAACCTTTTAGAGACTTTAGCAATTTGATTTATGTATTAAAATCAAAATGTCATATTTTTCTTTTATTCTTTATTACAAAATCAAAATACAAACATATTTTTTAATTATTTATTAAAAAAATAAAAAATAAACGATGTCTTAACTAATTAAATAGTACTTTTATTATGATATTTTGAGTATAATATTATCTCATTTTATGAATTTGTTAATTATTTTAAATCTATAATAAAAAATTTTAATTAATTTTCTCAATTTTTAATTGAGTTTTATTTGAAAAAAAAATGATTTTTATGTTATATAATTATATTGTATTATCATTGTAATAATCTTTTTGGGATTGAAAGATGTAATTAGAAATACAAAATATGGATTCCCGCTATATTCACACTTTTTTTTTTAGATTCTTTAAGTCAAATCACAATCCACAATTTTACAACTCAAAATAATTAAAACTCTTTATCATTATTTCTTTTTAATTTTGATAATTTTTATATTTGTTTTAATTTTTACATTTTAGTCCATACAATGGTACAAAAATCTACTACCAAACGGAATTTGGTGTCAAAGCATTCTTTTTTGATTGAATTAATTGCATTATTTCCTTTTAAATATCTATTTACCTTATATTTTTTGACTATTTATTTTTTAAAAAAATATTAAATATATAGTTGAAATTAATTTATCCTAAAATCATGATAATTTACTGAAAATATCACTCTTACCTTTTTAAATATTAACTCTTTTCCAAACCAAATTTAAAATTTTGATTTAATTCAAAATATTTTTTCTCTTTCCAACCATATCTCATTAAACGGTGGTATGATTAAATTTTTTTATCACTTTGTCCGTCACTTAAATTATAAAATGTTGGGTTTTTGAATTTGCTCAAAGTATATTTTTCATAACGTTTATAATTATAACCTGATCAATCAAAAGTTTTTATTACCATTTTTTTGTATTTTTCTTTTTTTTTTCCATTTCATATCAATTTATTAATTTTTTTTTCACTAAATAGTTATATAATATGCTTTATTAGCTTATATAAATTGACTTAACTTTTTACGCACCGTTTACCAATTTATTTCCTTTTTTTTTTCTAATATTATCTACATTTAAAATTTTGTAATACATTTTAAAAAATTATATTTTAATGCAACATATCACATAAATTTATGTATTTTAGATAAGTTATCTATTTTTAAAAGAAAAAATATTTGTGTCAAGAATACTTATTTCATTTAAAATAAAAAATGTCAATTTATATGAATATTTTGAAATTTTTTATTTTTATATAATATTATTAATTATATTATATAATTATTATCCGTACATCACACAGACTTAAAACTAGTAATATATAACGACAAATCCACTTTTTAATGCAATCATTTTTTTTTCTTGGCATAAATGCCATAACTTCCAAGCAATGCCCCGTGCTCTAATTTTTAATTTTGAATTAACATACAATTGGCATAAAATTAAGTACCAAAAACCTAAATTCGGCAAGGAAATTGATTTCCTCCAATTATGTCACAAATTGACTTTTTTATTAAATTTGATAATTTAAAATATGATATGATGATATAATATAAATATTATATAATATAAAATATAAAAGTGATATAATCTAAAATTTTAATAATAAAATATATGAATTTTAAAAAATTAAAAAAATAAATATTATATTTTCGTATCGACGCGAATTATAACATATAATTTTTGTATAAAATATTACATAAATATATAAATTTTAATAATTTACAATATATAAATACACAAATTATTAAATTTTTTTTAACCAAATAAAACAAAAAGAAATACATCCAATTCTGCCATAAAAGTCCAATCATTGAAATTGCTTAGCTAAGTTTGGTCGCAGTCAAAGGTTTTTTTATTTTTTTATCATAAGAGGTAATAATATAAAAATAAAAAAAATTATAAGATTCAAATTTTAAATTTATTGGATATTTCCTTTTAATTAATTAAGCTCTAAATTCTCCTTGCAGCTTAAGCTAGCAAGTTTTTATTTCAATATTTTTTCTTTTCAATATCTATGACACGTAAACATATATATTTGATGTTTGAAAGAAAACTCTACTACTGGTCGCTTTATCTCTTTATCTCAAATAACAAGATTCGGATCTCTTTGTGTCAAACAAAAAAATCTCCGCGCATTAACTCAAACTTATCTTTGAAGATCAACATATGAAGTAAAATTTTAAAATTGCAGAGGTCAAAGAAAAAAAAAACCTGTAAATCTTGTTTTAAAATTTTGGGATAATAAAACTGAAGAAATTATCAAATATATTGGTAATTAAGTTAAAAAATTTTCATTGATAATGTATTAAATAATTTTTTTTAATTATTATAAATAAAAACTTCTATAAAATCTAATATTATTTCTTACTTGGAATTCATTCAATATTCCAAATTACACTAAAATAAAAAAAAAAGCCAATAAAATTAAATTTTATAACAAAATACAAACATTACAGCATTCAATTAATCAGAAGGAGAAGAAATAAAAATCCTAATTTGATCCAAAAAACTAAGATTTTGAGGCCTATCTTTTCGTTTCACGTAACCTTTGGCTTCTGTCTCTGAATAAATCCGCAACCCTTTCCTCCCGTTCCTCTTCCATATCTCCTTCTCGTAACTCCTGTGCGCGTAATACGCCTCCGCCTCCGCCGCGCACGTTAAGGACTCGTCCTCGTTCTCTTTGTTCACGTTGCCAATTGGCATCAGCTGAATGGGCAGCCGCTCGTAATGCCCGCGACTCGTGCCTTCCAACTCGTCGAGGCGGCCGAGTCCCCGATCCGACACGGCGTACAGCTCGCCCCAGACTTGGTGCCCCGAACCGGGCATGTTGAGGAGGAAAGGAACGCGGTAAGGTCCGCAGACGAGTGGATATTTCTCCACGGTTGTGTAGGTGCCTTTGAATACGGCGTCTCCGGTTCGCATCAAATCTTGAAGAAGTGCGTGATTGGAAAAGCCACATTTTAATGTACCGTACGTGAAAATGAGGTTCCCACAAGTGTTGTTTTCGACGCCCATTTCTTTCCCTCTCTTTTGAAACGGAATGAGTATGGTGATGTTTGGTTGATGAGAAAGCGAGGAAAAATGGATGGGAAAAAGAGAGGATGACAGCTGCAGTGAGGAGTTTTAATTTATAGGAGGATTCCGTTTGGTTGCTTAGGAATTTAGGGTTTAGAATCTAAATACTATGAGATTTGTATTTATAAAAAATTCAATGACATATAGGAGAAAAAAAGGAAAGATAAAATATTTTTAATTGAGTAAATTCCATTCATTTTCTTGAGTTTTGAACATAATTTAATATAAGGTCATTAATTTAAAAAATGAACAATCCATTTTAAATTTTTTAATTTCATAAGATATTAAAAATCTCATTTACATACTATTTTATTCTTAAAAATTAAATATCCTCAAACCAATATTTCTTTTTTTTAATTAAAATATATCAAATTTATTAACAATAAAAAATTTAGATACAACATATAAAAATAAAATTTACAATTATAAGATTTCTAATATGTAAATATATGTATAATTAAACAAATATATTGGGCATGTAATATTATTTTGGCATTCAACAAATTTTTTTTAAAAATGAAGGATATAATATGAAAAATGTTAGTTGAAAAAAAATCACAATTGAATATTTGTCAATTTAATCTTAATTATTATAATACTTGTATATATATATATATATATTAAGTTTAAATCTACATGTTTATAAAAATATAGTGATGATAAATTTATTCATTTTAAATTAAACATCATTTATAATAGTAAACTCAAGTTAAAAAGTTGTAATGTTTAAATATAAATAATTTTAGTTCCTATATATTCAATTGATATATAAAACAAAAAATAATATATATAAATACTTTAGAATAATTTATAACAAGTTGACGTGGCACTAACTTTAATGATTTAATATTAACTTACAGACGTAACAATTGTAATTGATGAAATTCATTGTAAAATTATACAAATGATTTCTATACTCATATGAAATTTGAATTTGAATTTTTATACTTACACACGAAATTTGAATTTTAACCCTTCTAATTAAAAATTTTTTTAAAGTTTTTTGAATTATTTTAGTTTTTAAAAATATTAAATATTAAAATATTTTATTCTTTTAATATATTAGTTTTTATTATATATAATTAATTATTAATAATTTTATATTAATAATATTACTATTATCATTTATGTTAATTTAATTATAATATTAATAATTTAAATTAATATATCAAAATTAATATTATTTTAGTTGGTATAAATATATCATATAATAAAATTTAAAATGAAACAAATTATTAAATAGAGTTACATTTATAATGAATTTGAAATAGATCATAAATGAAATGATCATTCTATTCAACCAAATAAAATAAAAGATTCAAACTTAAATTCTTACGAGGGACGATATAATAAAATTAATTTTAAAATAAATACACATTGAGATTAGTAAATTAATTTAATGTATTTAAAATCTTGAACCTATATTTGATTATAAAAAATTATTTAAATAGAGTTTAATTTAAATGAATAGAAATATTGTCTTATGAATAATTTTAGCTTTATAAAATATAATTATAATTCTAATTTTTTAGATAAATTAATAAAAAATAATAGTTTTATTAAAATTAGATAGTGATATATTTGTATCATATCTTGACAAATTTATTATTGATTTTTAATAAATTGTTTTAAGATTTTTTTATATAGCCACAATATATTACAATTATCACAAAATTAGTAACAGATTTATATTTTATGACAGAATCTAACAAAAAACAATAATATAATTAATACTAGTATTTCACATGGGTGATAAATAATCGTTACAAATTTAGTAACAATTTATGAAAATTATCAATAAATATTTTGATAATTTTTTAATGTTGTGATAGAATATTATGAGAGAATATTGTAATAATTTTTAAAATTTAATGTTTTAAAAAACTAGAAAACTTCTAAAAATGTAAAATATTTTTATATTAGACGAATTAAATTTAAATATTGTGTAAGTACAGTGATTAAATTTCATATTTCATGCGATATAAAAATAATTTTAAATTTTGTATGAGTATAAAAATTATTTATATAATTTAACAATTGATTCTATCAATCTAAATTATCATGTTAGCAAGTCAATATCACATCATTAAAGTTAATATCATGTCAACATGATCAACAATCACGTAAATTAATTGAATAAAATAAGTTATTTTATAGAGACTAAAGTTAAAATTTTATTTAAATATAAAGACTAATTACATAATTTAAACAATAATTTATGAAGATTGTTGTGGTTTTTTTTTACGAGTAATGATATCTCTTTCTATAAAAGTGCAAGATTTAACACTGTTTGTTAAAGGTCTATTTGAATTGTCAATAGTAATCAGACTAAAATTAATTACGATAAAATTAAAATTAATAATAAAATATATATTTAAATATAAAAATAATAATAATGAAATAAATTATAATGAAAAGGCAATAATTATTAAAAATATTAGAATAAAAATTATATCAGCAAAAAATTTAAATTATTTAATAGTTATAAAATTAATTATAAATTTATTCACTTATTAATTTATTATATAATAAAAAGTTTATAAATTTATTTTATAAATTTTTAATAAAAAAATTAAAATACAAAGATATTTTTGTTTTTGTACTATAAAATAAAAGACGAAAACAGGATAAACAAAAAAGGTGGTCTAGCGCGTTTTTGTACTGTAGCTATATCCTTCAAGGAAAAAAGGCAGACACGCATTTCGAAACTTTGGTGCAGTTGAAATGTAACAAAGCATAAAGGGCTATGGAGCCTTTTATCAATAATTTTTTTATTATAAATTTGTAATTAGTTTAACAAGAAGAAAAAAATATAAAAATTCATAATTTTATAATATGAATTTATATAATTCTTTTTTATAAATTTTATATACTATTAAATTATAATTAACTAATTATATTATAATAATTATAAGAAAAATGCTCATAATAACTTATATTGAAGAGAATGAGAAAAAGAAAAGTGATCAAGGTCGCGTTTGGGAATGGTCAAAAAGATGGAACATCACACCCAGAAAATAACTTCCGATCAACAAAAAAGAAAAAAAAATTACAAGCAAAACTAGAAAATTGTCTTTCGCTTCTTTTGGACGGTAGACAATTTGCAAAACACAACAATCCATCCCAGCAACTGCAAGCAGCCATGAACTCACACCCTGCAAACAGTCACCCTTTTGTTGGCGACGGCCTCCTCCGAATTACCGAAAGTAACCAGTCCATTTTTTAACTTCCTTTCCCTTTGCGTTGTCTTTCCAGATCTGCTCTGTTAAGAGTCGATTTTCAACATTGATTTACTGGAATCATCATATCATTACCACTTACCTGTTGGGCTTCTTCTGCAAGAATATTCCGTTAAATATGGAAAATCTAGAAGCAAGCTACCAAGCCAGAGAGTAAGTTACCAATCAACATCAATTTTCGTTAAGGAGACCCATCAAGTCAAGTATTTGGTTAGTTTGAATTTGGATTATGAAATTTTGGATTTGATAAAATTACAAAAATTTTGAGTATTTTTCATTGAAATACTATAAACTGGAAAATAACCTTAAAAAATTTACCAAACATCGGATTTTTTTTTTCCTGGAAATTAATTTCATAGAAAATATTTTTTTCCAGAAGCTCATTTTCAGTTACCAAACCGAGCCCTAGATACTGCTGATATAGTTGATTCCATCTCTAAGCTTAAGTCTTTAACTTCCCCAGTCACCTAAATTGCAGATCATATACAGATCTTAGCCGTGCTCAAGAAAAGAAAATATTACATAAATTTCTTCAAAGATTGAGATGTTACAGAAGAAGCACCACTCAAAAGAAAGGCATAGATTTAAAGAAAAAGGAAAAAAAAAAAGGAAACAAAGATGATGATATTCCAGATTATGTACAAACCAATTTTAAAGATGGATCATAAGAAGGAGATCAGTAGAAGCATGTCGTATGCAGCAACAGAGACTTGAGGAGAAGGAGGAATACTAGGAAACCTATGGCATGGGCGGAGTAGGTAAAAGAACATCTCTTTCTTTGTTTCTTTTTCTCGATTAAGAAATTGAAACAAATCTTTCCAGCATGTATCTTGCCTACTCTCCCATACCATAAGCTTCCTAGAATTCTAACTCCTTCTCAATCGTCTCTTCATTTTCTCGTCAAGCAAGCGGCCACAATACGTCCTATGTCGATTACAACACAATATATAGTGTGATAAAGTGTAAACCCTAAAAAAAAAAAGTGCTTTATTTTTATTGGTCCAAACATGATAAGGTGAGAACTGGTGATAGTGGTATTTGAGTTACGAGGTCCTGGATGAAATGATTGGGCTCGATTGACAGAATTAGCCCAAATTGCCAATATTTTTGGTCTTAAAAGAAAAGAAGCCTGGATGAAAGACTTCACTTATTTTTCTACCAAGAGCTCGACGAAAATTCTTTATCAAGCAAAAAACAACGTATTATATATGGATTAAATAAGAAATAAGTAGATTGTTATGCGTTATTGTGGTTCATAATGTAGTTTTTTTTTTCTAATGATAAATTTTTTGGCAAAGTTATTTTCATTGTTTAAAATTTTTACAAAGTTCTATAAAGATAGATGAGGCACCGTTAATAATTAGTTAAAAGTTCTATACTTTTTCTATTAAAAAGTCCGCAAATATTTATAAAGCATAAAATAAATATTTCTTCTCCCAATTTGATACGCACATATATCCATATTTCTTATTGCTGTAATGATAATATAAAGTTATTTTGTCTATTTTACTTTTTTTATTATAACTTCTAGGCAATATATATCCCTTTTAAAATAAAAGTCATTTTTAGAGTTGTTAGTTCAACTCATCTCGACAGATTTTGATTTGATTTTTTTAAAATTAAATTTTGAATCGAATTAGGTTGAGTAATAATAAACAAAGATTGAATTAGGTCAAGTTTTAGATAAATTCGATTCTATTTTATTTGATATATATAAAAAATATTTTTAATTATTTTTTTAATTATATATATTTATATAATTTTATATTTGTATTAAAAAATAATATTTTATATTTTTAAAAATAATATTTTATTAATTTTAAATTTGATTGAGTCGAGTATAATTTATGTAATATCAAATCGGGTCAGATTCAAGTATGAAAAAAATTAAAAAAAATTTTAGATTGGATTGAATTCTAATTTGTAAATATAAAATCGAATCAAATTTGAAACGAATAAAAACTTATTTCGATTTGATCCGATTCGTTATCATCCTTAATTTTTCTCATAAATAACCTTATAAGAACATGAATTTATCAAATATATTTTACAATATCAGAATGTGTTCAATCTTTTTTTTTTCATATAAGTGAAAATCTATACATTATTTATATATAAAAAAAAAAACAGTTAATAAAATATGTTTGCCACTAGGGTTGACAATCCAACTCGTCTCCGACGGATTTCGACCCGATCTGACCCTATGAGGTAGAGTTTTTTTTTTTTTTTTTAAATTTGAGTTTCGAGTCCAAAAATGTTAGGAAACAATCGGGGTTGGGTCGGATTCGAGTTTTAGGCAAACCCGACCAACCGATCCGATATTATATAAAAAATTATTTTTTAATTAATTATTTAATTTTTTATTTTTATATATTTATATAATGATATTTTTAAATATTTATATTTAAAAAATAATATTTTTATATTTTAAAAAATAATATTTTATTAATTTCGGGTCTGATTAGGTATGATTTATATAATATCGAATCAGGTTCGGATTCGGATATAAAAAAATAAAAAAAATTTTAATAAATTTAAATTTAGATTTAATAACACATAAAATCGAATTGGATTCGAAACGAGTAAAACTTACCCCGAATCGGACTCGATACCAACTCTATTTACCACACTGTGGTGATAGAGATGTCTGAGTTAAATTGTTAGAAGTTTCATTCATACAGGAAATCAGCGCACAAAACATAGTAAAAGTCAGTTAACACACTTTTAATTGAAAACTTTCTTTTTTATACCCAAACCATAATTAATTGCATATTGTAATCAATAATTGATTATGAAATATATTAGCTTTATTTAATTTCTAAAACTTTCTTTAAAACATAAAATATCAAATATATATTTTTTACGAACCTTTATTGATTCGAATTATAAGAAATTTAATTTATTTTAAATAAAATTTTAATTTTAAATTTGATAAATAAATAAAAAACATTAAAAAATTTATTTTTTTTATAAAATTTAATTCAATTCGATTTCAAAATAATTAAAAATTAAAGTAATTAGGATCCAGATAAAAAAAATATATTTTAAAAGGGTTTAAATTCTAAACGAATTCTTTTGAGCCTGTTAAGAAGGACAAAATCAAATAAGAAAAAAGAAAAAACAAATTCAATTATTTACTTTTAATATTTGCAGAAACTTTTAGGAGAAGCTACCTCCTCGAAGTTACTTCTGGTGCGAGCGGTGAATGGTGATGCAACGTTTAAGATTCATGTACTAATTCAAGGTTGTTCAGGTAAGATTACCCTCCCTTTCGCTTTTTGTTTGTTCTTCTTTTAGGGTTTGATTTGCATGATTGTAAAATGCTAACCATGTTAATTATGTTTTTTTTTTTTTTAATCCTTTTGAAGTTTCAAGGGAGTGATACTATGGGAATGCGAGGCAAGAGACAGAAGCCACCAAAAGAAGATGAAAATATATTGAAACTACCATCTTATATTACTGTTGAAATACTTTCAAGGCTTCCCGTCAAAACAATCATCCTTTGTAAAGCTGTTTGCAAAGCATGGCGCAATGCGCTCTTAGACCCGCATTTTCCTCTTATTCACCTTGCAAAATCGTCCGTAAACCTATTGCTTTGCAGATTCCCCAGCTATTGGTTGATTGAATTTGGAAAAGACTTCCGCAGGAAGAAAATGTCAAAGTTCAATGATGAGAATGTGCATGGTGTTGGTGAACCATCAATGGTTGGTTCATGCAATGGCTTGCTTTGCTTGTCAATCAATTATCCAGAAGATTTTTATGTGTGGAATCCTGTTAGGAATGAATATGTTACGCTGCCAATGCCAAATATAAAGGCAGGGAATCGATTATGCTCGTATTCGGGGTTTGGATTTTGTCCAAGGACTGATACATATAAGGTGATTAGAATGGTTAGATATGGTAGTATGCCTAGTATGGCATGGACGGGGTCAAGCAATCAAGCAATGTGCGAGGTTTACACACTTGGAACTAACACTTGGCGAACAATTGAAGATGTACCAGTCCCACATTATGGAGGTTTGATTTGCAAGACGCCTTTCAATGGCGCTGTGCACTGGATTTGCTCTTTCAAAATCAATGATGAAAAGTTTCCTTTATGGATTTGTGCTTTTAAAATTGAAGATGAGAATTGGGCTTCCATTCTCCTGCCACTTCCTCTTCTTGAAGTGCCTGGTTTAGAATTTACTGATCAACGAAAAGAGCTACTACTATCATGGTTGCAATTAGGGGTGCTAGATAATTGTTTAGCTATATTTGATAAATCACAGGATTCTTTGCTGAACATTTGGATGATGAAGGATTATGGTGTTAGGGAATCTTGGATTAAAGGTTGGAGTGTTGAAAGTCGGATGCCATCTGAGATTCATGTTCCGTCACTTCTCCCATTAAAGCTCACAAAAGATGGAGACTTACTAATGTTTGATGATTTCAATAAAGCTCTTGTTTGCTTTAATCCACAAAAGAGTATGCCCTGCAAACAAAAGATTTCTGGCCTTCCAAAAATCAGCAAAGGCATTGCATATGTTGCGAGCTTTATATCTCCAATAAAAGCCATGAAGGAAGAATGTTAGATTATGGTGTAAATTTTAAGAAAAACCGCTACTGATTTATAGAGCTGTGGCTATATTGACGTTTTCTATAGGGTGGTAATCAACTGCAATATCCTGTGAAAACTGAAATGGTATGAACTATTTTACTTGATCCTTCTTGTTTTAGACACTTTGTACAACATTATGAGGAGTTTGAACTTTGAATGATGTGTTTAATAATTTTTTTCTTGCTTGATGATGGATAATATCTTGTCATAAATATCCTATTCCTCTTTACTTGTAAAAGTTGGTTAAAAATGACTAAAGAAGAAACGAGTAAACAACCTCAAACATGAAATTTTCAACAAACTAGAGAAGAAATAAGATAGAACATAGCCGATCATTCCTAACAAGATTGTTCTACATAGAACTGTATCTTCCTAGCTGGTGAATAGTGCAAATCTGATCAAGTATCATTTAAATTCAAAAACATTCTGACTGAAGATGAACAGCATGTTTATTATACCAAAAAGATATTTGAAGTAAGAATAGTAAAAAAAAAGATAGACGAAGATGAAACAGAAAGCCCATAGTACTTGAACCTCTGTCTGATTAAGACTTTTCAAGAAGAAGAGGGTTTAAAACTGTGTGTATAGAATAGAGGAGGAGCAACATGTAGATAATGACACTGATGAAGCCAACAGCTAAAGTTCCTTTTACTTGGTTGCAGTACTTGTTGACTTGGTCGCATATGGGTAGCCAACCTGCCTTAGGATTTCCTTTCTTGCCCACGTAAGCAATTGCCAAGGCTGCTGAAATGCTTGAGGTAAGCAACATGGTGAAAACCTTGTCAAAACAAGGCTGTATTTGTTAGCAATGGTTGTAGTAGATATCCCCAATTCTTCATGCCGAAAAAAAAAGAGAAAGTGTTGAAGAAAAGCTATAATGAATAATTACCACATCCAAGGCAACAACTAGTTGCCATAGCAGGCTTTTGGATGGAAGAAACAGAAGTAAAAGCCCGTAGATGCTTGCAATTGCATTTGCGATAACAAAGTACCTACAGCAAATCATCGGTCACACATTGTACATCATTGAAATGGTAATTCCCCTTTGTGATAATATTGACTATAGTTAATTGAAGTTTCAACTCACTTAAATGCAGGTGTGTCGGAGTATTTTGCTTCAAATGATAATGTCAAAACAGCAGTTCTCTCGTGGCTTGAAGCCATCATAATTGCAGCTGCAAGTGTTGTGCTGAAGGCTATAAATCTTAGCAGAAAGGTGCAGATCCTCTTGGCTTCAGCCATGGTACTGCTTCAATAAGGAAGTTTGAATATACTGCAAAAGGAAATGTGGAAATTGTAGAGATGATTGGGGGTTAGCACACGGAAATAACACTGAGAAAGGGTAAGCTCTGAGGTATTATAGGGTGGTAGGAAGGCAGATGACTGGTGGTGGACTAAGTACTCATGCAGTGTATTTTGTTAGTTGAAATCCACAACTATCACCCCCACCGCCCAATACAAAATTTTCTACTTTGGCTGCTGATTCAGCAGATTTCACTTCCATTGGATATTTGTAGTTAAAGGTTATTGTCCTCGTATACAAGTGTTTCATTTATTTAGGTTATCAGTATTTTTTCCATTATAATAATGCTTTAAGACTAGAGACTGTGATCCGTGGATTTAAATTGAATGTCGGTTTCTTTTCAAAGGAAATGCTCTGGAAAACAGATTGATGCTTTATTTCCTACCAACAATGTAGAAATGGGAAAAAAATAGTGAATAATAAAATAAATAAACTAAATCCGTAAGAGATCATACATGAAATTAATATATACAAAATACGAGTGACTGCAGGTAAATTTTTTTTATTTTGTTATATGTATTTAATTAATTTTTATTGTAAAATCTATTTCATCTAAAAACAAAAAGGTGAAAGGTAATAAAAGAAATAAATGATGATGAGATGTGGTTATTTCGATCGGATTGATTTGGGTTTTTAATGGAAGTTATCCAATTTAAAAATATAAAATAAGTGAAAAGATAAAAAAAGAAAAAAGAAAAGGAGAAAATAAAGAAATAAAAAGAAGAGCTCATAGAAGATGCTATATAGATACTTCTATTAAGTCGAAAATATTAATTTCTTAAATTAAAGTATTAAATAATTAGTTTATTAATATAACATATATTTTTTTGTTCAATTATGACAAAAGAGGCATTTCGGTAAGTATATTAGAAGAGGTATTATAGTAATTTCAATTAATTATAAAAAAAAGGTAGTATAATCTATTTAGATACTTATCATTCAATTGTCAAACAATTAGAATTGCATTATGATCATTGTTAAGGGGATCACTTTCATATAATTGTATGAATGTTAAAATTTAACACTTAATTATGAGGTAATAAAAAATATTTTAGTAATTATAATAAGAGAGTATTATAGTAATTTTGATAAATTATAATATGAGAAATATTTTCGTAATTATAGTAAGAAAGATATTATGATAATTTTGACAAAAGATGGTTGGAGGATATTTTCGTAATTATGGTTGTTAGAACATTATATTAACTTTGGTCAATTATAATAAGAGAGGGATTTTAGTAAATATGTTGAAAGAACATTATATTAATTTTAGTTAATCATATAAAAAGGAACATTACAATCAATTTGGATATATATAATTTAATTATCAAGTAATGAAAAAAGCATTATGATTATTTATAAGGGGATTAATTTTATATTATTATATGGATGTTAAAGTTTAATACGTAATTATGAAACAATTAAAAAGTTATTTTTGTCATTATGTTTATAAGGCATTATAGTAATTTCAATCAATTATAATATGAATGGTATTTTGGTAATTATGAAATGAGAGGTATTATAAGAAACAGTCAAAAAGGCTTTTTTTTTTGTAATTATGGTTAGAATGTATTATAGTAATTTTAGTCGATTATAATATAAGGAGTATTTTCATAATTATATTAGGGGTATTATAGTAATTTTGATAAAATATAATATGAGGATATTTTCGTAACTATGGTAGATGAGGCATTATAGTTATTTTGACAAATGATAATGGGAATGTATTTTCATAATTATAGCAAATGAAGGTATGAAGATATTTTCATAATTATAGTTGTAAGAGCATCATAATAACTTCGGTCAATTATGGTAAAAGGAATATTTTAGTAATTTTGTTAAGGGTATTATAGTAATTTTAATTAATCATTGAAAAGAGAGTCATCACAATCAATTTGGATGTATATATATTAATTGTGAAGCAATTAAAAAGACATTACGATCGTTTCTAAAAAGATTAATTTCATATTACTATATGTATGTTAAAATTTAAAACGTAATTATGAAGCAATCAAAAAGGCATGTTCGTAATTATGTTTAGAGGATATTATAATAATTTTAGTCAATCATAATATCAAAGGGTATTTTAGTAATTATGGTTGGAGAACCATTATACGAAGTAATCAAAAAGACTTTTTGGGTTATTATGGTTAGTGGGTATTATAATAATTTTAGTCAATTATAATATGATAGGTATTTTCATAACTATAATAAGAGGTATTTTCGTAATTATGGTTAGAGAATATTAAAATAATTTTTGACAACCAAAGGGTATTTTCGTAATTAGGATAAAAAGCATTATAATAATTTTGAGTAAATAACACCTGTGGTCCTTAAACTTTGGATCAAATTCTATTTTGGTCCATAAATTTTAAAAAAATTTTACTAAGTTCTCAATTGCTCAAATGTATGCCAATGTAATCATTCCATCTATGGAATAGTTTAAATTGACAGCAAATGTGAGCTAGCATCACATAATAACATTAACTAGCATTTTACAATGTAGATGAAGGATTAAAATAGAATTTTCTCAAAATTTAGGAAGAAAGATGAAACTATCTTAAAATTTTATACATTACATATTTTATAAAATATTAAATTAAAATTATATTTTTATTGTAATATAATTTATTAGTTATATTTTTTAATAAAAATATTTTTTTAATTAAAATAAGTTAAAAATATTAAACCAATAGTGATTCATACAAATTAAATCTTCTAATCAATAACTGAGTCAAAGAAAAACTTTAATTAAGTTAATTTATTTTTCTCACTATCAAGATGTTTGTTTTTATTCAAACTCTGACCACAATTTTTTACATTATGTAAAAATACTAAATTTTTATGCATACCATCTTTATCCCTTGAATTGAAAGATATTTGAATTTGTAATTTTCTTTGGTGGTTAGGGGACAAAATGTTTTCAAAAATAAACAAATCATAATGACTTTTGTCTTTATTTTCAATCATTTTTTGATGTCTTGCAATAAATTCGTCAGAATTCTTTTTATCAATATAGTTGTTTTCTTAATATCTTTGATTAATTTGATATTTATTTTTATGAACCAATGAGATACTTATAGTTTGATATAGAATAAATTGTCCATCATTTTTTATAGAAAGACATATCGTTTTAAAAACAAAAAAAATTATTTTCTATTAAAAAATATTATTTTATTCATAAATCATAATAAAAATTATATTTTCTATCCATAAAATATATATTTTAAAATATTAATTAAATATATTATTTTTTCAATATATAAAAATAAATAAAGGAAAAGATAAAAATAATTCAAGAAAATTTTTATTTTTATATATTTTATAAAATATTATATTTTTTAAAATTTTATTATGATAAAATTTATCAATAAAAATATTTTTTAATAGAAAATAGATTTTTAAAAAATTAAAATTAAGTTGAAATTTTCAAAATAATTTTGTTAAATTACATATCATTTTAAAAAATTAAGTAAAAATTTTTATATTGATTTAAGAAGTTAAATAAAAACTCTATATCATTTTAAAATATTATGTAAAAATTTTAAGATCATTTTCAAAAATAGATTTATTAATCTATTCAAAAATATAAAAATTTTATATTCATATAAAATAAAATATAATTTAAAAATTTTTATTTTTCTTTTTTTATAAACATATTTTATAAAATATATTTAAAATGAAAAAATAAAAGATATTTAATATTTAAAAAAATTATTTGGATAGAAAATAATATGTTTTATTATGACTTATGAGTAAAATAATATTTTTTATAATTTTTTATTTTTAAAATGTATTAAATTTTTTTAAAAAATTTGAAAATTTTAACTTAATTTTAAGTTTTGAATATTTATTTTCTATTTGAAACAAAAATCTTATTTTCTATTTGAAACAAAAATCTATCTAACAAGTTATATTATAACAAAAAATATAATGCAAAAATATCAAATTCAATTTAAAATTATATTTTTTGTTATAATATAATTTATTAGATAGATTTTTATTTTAAATAGAAAATAAATATTCAAAACTTAAAATTAAGTTAAAATTAAATGATAATTCTATTTTGGTCCTTAAATTTTGATAAAATTCTATTTTGGTCACTTATCTACCACTTGAGGTGCTAACTAACATCATCGCGTGATGTCAGTTAGTATTTACTTCAATTTAGACAATTTCATAGAATGATGGATTATATTGACATACGTTTGGATAATTGAAGACTCAATTAAAATTTTTTAAAGTTTAAGAATTAAAATAAAAATTGGCTCAAAATTTATGAACCAAGGGTATTATTTACTCTTTTAATAATTATGTTAGGAAGAACATTATAATAATTTTAGTTAATTATAGAAAAAAAGGCATCATAGTTAATTTGAATGCATATAATTCAATCGTTAAGTAATTAAAAAGATATTATGATAATTTTTTAAGGAATTAATTTCATATTATTATATGAATGTTAAAATTTAACGTATAATTATGAAGTAATTAAAAAGATATTTTCATAATTAGGTAGGAGATGCATTATATGAAATAATTAAAAATGGACTTTGTGCAATTATGGTTAGAAAATATCATAATAATTTTAGTCAAATATAATATAAAAAATATTTTCATAATTATGATAAAAAATATTATAATAATTTTAGCCATGGAAAGGGAAAAAAGAAAAAAAAAACACGTGACATACAATTAGTATAAAATGGGTTTGTGAAAAAAAAAATTAAAAATATTTTTATTAAATATTTTTAAAAATTTAAATTTGAGAAAAATAAAAAAAAGGTAAAAAAGGAAAAAAAGTTTTATATAAGTGAATCTTAAATATAAAAAAATCTTCAAATTATATATAATAATTTTATAATTTTTAAAAGTATTTATTAAATAATTTTAAAAAATGAGAAAAAAAGTAAACGCAAAAAATGACATGAAATGATAAAAGGAAACGTTACTGTAAATCACACTAACTTTCAAATGTGTTGTAAAAGATTAAAAAAAATCTTAAGATTTTTTAATTTAAAAAAAAAACAAAAAATAAAGAAAGGTCAAAAAGAAAACAAAAAAATTTTAATATAAAATGGGTCCACACAAAATAAAATTTTAATTTTTACAAATATTTTTTATAATTTTAAAAAATTATTATTTAAAAAAAAAAAGAAAAGAAAGGCAATCTTATATCATCTAATATAAAATTAATGTTTTATAGGTACAATGTGGCAGAAGTACTATGCTCTATTAGTAAAATTAATCTTACAATGTATATATCTAATGGGCAATGGCTAGTTCATTATTATGAAGGGGCCCAATCTCAAATGTTGGTCGCATCACCTTTTAGACTATAGCCAGGCGTCAACGTAGTAACGCAAAACCACCCAGAAGGCAGAAACTACCCTACTCACGGCAGCACCAGATCCCAACTCTTCAATCGAAATCAGTTTGAAGTTCCTTCTCCTCGTTCAGTCTCTCTGACAAGAGCAGAGCCAAGCCAGAGAGAAAAAAGATAGAGAGGAAGAAAACAAACAGTATTCAGGTAAGCGATCCGTCAGCTTTTTATCTTTTTTCAATAATTTTTATCTTAAATCTCTTCTACTTATTTCTCGAATTTCCTCCGAATTTTATTTCAATCGAAACATCACTCTATTTCTGCCTCCCTTTCTCATCCCTGCATCTACATTTTATTTTCTTTTTTTAATTTTTTCGTTTAAGAATTGATTTGAACTAATTTCTTTTCTTAATTGATTCTTCCTTTAAAATTTTGCTGAATTTTGACGTAATCTGAATAGCTCAACTTTCATTTTCTCTGATTAAAATTTTTCTTTTGATTTATGAATTTTTGCCTTAGAAATGAATTAAATTATATGTTAGATTAATCAGATTGGATCAGCTAATTTTTATTCTTCAGATTTGATAAAATACAAAGCAAATTATAGATTTCTGTTGTGTATTTGTAGTTAAAATGGAAGGGAGTTCGATTTTAAATTTATTAGTTTTTTTTTTTTTTTGTATTTTTGGTGAAATTTTGTAGGGGTTTGAATTTGTGTGGAATTTGAAGTATTTTTTGAGCATCAATGGAACGTGCTGAACTAACCACTGAACAGGTTGGTGATCTGATCACTTCATTTGCTTTATCAGTTATAATTTTATATAAAAAGTATTATTGAGTTTCAAGTTTTGATTCTTTTGGTATTGAAATTCAAGAGCTTTTGCGATCATTTGGTCGTTGCTTTTGTTATTTCCTTTTGCTTTTGGAAGCAAAATGTAGAAATTGCGGTTGGATATTAAAGCAAACGGTAAATTTGAAGATTGACATTAAATTGTAAAATTTTTTTCTGCAAAAATTAGACTTTAAAATTTCATCTTATGGTAGATTTGGGTTACTTCCTTGGTCGCTTCTTTTTATTTTCTGTTATTGAATGTCAAAGACAGTCTTTTGTACTTGAAGTTGTATTTTAGCTTTTGAAACCCAGAAAAAGGATAAAGCTTCTTGAAAAATAGTTTAGGTATTCTCCTCTTGAACAGCTTTGGTGGACTACACAGGTGTTAGGGTTCTTTTAGACACTTCAAGTTGTTTGTTTGTTCACTTTGTCATGGATAGCGGAGCACAATATTATTTGCTCATTTAAAATTTCCCTGATCTTAATTTGTTGAAAATTTATCTTGTGGTTATGTTGTTCCTGTGGTTTCCTGGTTCAAAGAATCTAATTTATTTTATTTTTTAACCATTTATGTATGATATGGTTAATTATGAATGGTTTCTTGTTAGCAGTGATTCCATTTTGAGCGTTTTGTTTTCTTTTAAAGGTTCTGAAGAGGGACATCCCATGGGAAACATACATGACAACTAAGCTGATTTCAGGAACAGGCCTTCAGCTCTTAAGGCGTTATGATAATAAAGCTGAAAGTCTCAGGGCACAGTTGTTGGATGATGTAATTTTTATAGCTCTTCTTAACTTATGAGCTTGGTTTATTTTGTGTATATGTTCTTTTCCCCCCTCCAATTACTTCAATAGTTTAATTAACTTCACTTCCATCATAAACTGAATCAGGTTTTGAAAGCCTAACTATAATTCTATGGGAAAATCTGATATAACTAATGGTAAAAGAAAGATTTTATGGAGTCTTGGCAATGATGTTGATTGGTGAAATTGACTGTGACAGGATGGACCAGCCTATGTTCGAGTGTTTGTTAGCATATTACGTGATATATTTAAGGAAGAAACAGTGGAATATGTCCTGGCTTTAATTGATGAAATGCTTGCAGGTATTGGAAGAATATTGGTCTTGTGATGACACATTCATCATAAATAAATTTACTTACCATTATTTTCTATTGCAGCCAATCCGAAACGAGCCAGATTATTTCATGACAAGTCTCTTGCAAATGAAGATACTTATGAACCTTTCCTAAGTTAAGTTTTTACTGAAAATTGTTTTCATCGTTTATCTGTGGCTGAAGTTAAGTTTTTGTTTTTTTTAGTGTGAATAAATAAGGTGGCTGATATTCTTTAATCTTTCAATTATCATTCGACTCGTAGTATTCTAATAGAGTATATAGTGTCTGTTTGATGATTTAGAATAACCTTTCTAAATGTTAAATATATACATATTGGTGTCACTTCTCCTTTATTGCATTTTATTTTGACTCCAAATTGAGTTGGTTCCTTGGCGCTGAATCTGCTGATGGCTTAAGCTGGCTCATATTGTTAGTGATGGCTATGATTCTTTAGGATACTTGTTTCTTCGGAAAGTAGGTCTTGGACCCTTGAAGAGTTTTTAGATGCAAATAACTTGTATCTTGAAGGCCACCCTGTAATTGGATTATATATGGCTATCAATGTCATATGTTCTGTTTTTATCTTTATTCTACTCTTTGGCTGTTATTACCTTATAGAATTGGAAGAATAAAAGTGTTTCTTAGTTAGCTTTTAAGATATTTGTTCATGTAAACTCAATTTCTTATCTTGTACTGAATTACCTGAACTAAAACTAACAATCCACAATTTGGTCTACTTTCAGATTGCTCTGGAAAGGTAACTGGTTCATTCAAGAAAAGAGCTGCAAGATGCTTGCCTTGATAGTAAGGTATGTGATCCATCTAAGTAATGAAGTACTTGTTTAAAGGAACTTAATTAAATGGCATGGTGTCTTACATGCTTTATCTAATGACTCTTTACATTCTTCTTTCTATTAATTTACAGTGCCAGGCCAAAAACCCAGGATAGCGTTGTTGCAAATGGGGAAGCCTCAAATTCAAAGAAGAAGTTTGCTACCATTGATGATGTACTACAAGGATTGGTTCAATGGCTTTGCACACAGGTTAGTGCACTGCTTTGAATTCTGTTTTTCATAGTCTGCAGAGCATTTTTCCTTTCTTATGGCTGGAAGAAGTTGACTGCCTTGGTAGATGTTGACCAGATTCTCCCTCTGATTTTACATGCCTTCTGGAAGTTCCCTTCTCGATTTTATAGTCTGTGGTTTCTCATTCTCATGCATGACCTTGTTGCAAAATGATTTCTTGTGAAGAAGATTCTATTTATTTCTGTCAACTTAGGTGGTAGTTGTCCTTACTTCCTGATGCCCAATGTCTTTTGCAGCTGAAGAAGCCTTCCCATCCTAGTCATGGTATTCCAACTGCTATTAACTGCCTTGCGGCATTACTGAAGGAACCTGTTGTCAGATCTTCCTTTGTTCTAGCAGATGGGGTGAAGTTGTTGATTCCTTTAATTTCTCCAGCATCCACCCAGCAATCTATCCAGGTTTTCTTTTATTCACATTTTAAGGTGGTTAGGTTTTAAAAATGAAAACTTTGCCTCGTAGGCCATCTGAATGGCATAATTCTGAAATTGACAACTAATCTTCGTAACAGCTTCTTTATGAAACATGTCTCTGTGTGTGGCTTTTATCTTATTATGAGCCTGCAATTGAGTTTTTGGCAACATCTAGGGCTCTACCACAACTGGTTGATGTTGTTAGGAGTTCCACAAAGGAGAAGGTGAGGTCTTTTCTCTTATGTTATTGAGTCCATTTTCATTTTATCCAAGTTCTGGCTTGTAATATCTATGTTGCTGGAATAAAATGTATGTATGAGCAGGCATCCTGTAATGTGTTATATGAGCAGACTTCTGTTATTTTCCTAGCTTTCCTGTTTTTCCCTTTAACCTTGTCTACAATTCTGTATGAGCTTTGAATTTTTATTGTTACAAGGGACAAATGCATGCTTTCAAGTGCAGGTTGATTAATCTATTTCTATGTTATCATTTAGTCATGTTATTTTTAATCATTTGAAACATATATGTTTGATTTGTATAAATTTGTTTATTTGGACATCAACAATGGCTGCCAGGTTGTCAGGGTTGTTGTATTGACCTTTCGGAACTTGTTGTCCAAAGGCACATTTGGTGCTCAGATGGTTGACCTTGGACTGCCACAAATTGTTCAGAGTTTGAAAGCACAAGCATGGAGTGATGAGGTAAGAAAATGGATGGTTTAATGCTTATTTGGCCATATAATTCTTATGTTAAATCTTATTTTTCCTCGAACTTAATTATCAGATTCAGTACAGCTATACTGAATTTTATGAACTCTTTATGTACGGATGCTTGCTTATTGAATTGATTTGGATATCTCATAGGATCTGTTGGAGGCTCTCAATCAACTTGAAGATGGGCTGAAGGATAATATTAAGAAATTGAGTTCCTTCGATAAGTATAAGCAGGAAGTTCTCCTTGGTCATCTTGATTGGTCACCCATGCATAAAGATCCATTGTTTTGGCGTGATAATATTACATGCTTTGAAGAGAATGATTTCCAGGTATATGTTTGTCTTCCTCTCATTTGCCTTCTCCTAGTAGCTTTCAAGTTCTCATGCCGTTTACTTGCTTGTCTTTTGGTAATATTACACACTCCCATGCATGCAAACTGCTAATTTGCATAAGAATTTTGGTCTTTTGGTATGACTATTCCTCTTAGAAGGAAAGTACTGTCATGGTACATTATTGAAGTAACTCCCAGGTGATTGCCTGCATTTTTGTAACAATCATTCATGTACGAGTATAGATTGGTAAATTTATGAAAAAAATGTGTTTGTGGAAAAGAATGCATATTGTCTGATACTGTTAGAATTCAATTTCTGATGTAGTGCCTCTGGCAAATTATGACGGTTCATTAATTCTTGATGCTGATTTCATCTTTGCAACAAATTATTCTCATAATAATTTCAACAAATCTGCTATTGTTCTGAAACTTTAACATTACATTTTCAATGTATTTTATTTTTTGTTGCATTGCAACACTGTTTGGGAAGAACGGGATCAGTTGAGATAAGCACTATTATAATGATTAAGAATATCCAAGTAGAAAACTATGTGGTTAATTAGTTATCATCTACTTTTCCAGATTCTAAGGGTCCTAATTACAATTATGGACTCATCGAACGATCCTAGAGCTCTGGCTGTTGCGTGCTTTGATCTCTCACAATTTATTCAGCACCATCCGGCTGGGAGGGTGATAGTGACTGACCTCAAGGCCAAAGAACGGGTGATGAAATTGATGAACAACGAGAGCGCGGAGGTTACCAAGAACGCCTTACTCTGTGTCCAGAGGCTTTTCTTGGGTGCCAAATATGCTAGCTTTTTGCAGGCCTAGTTCCGCTTAATGATGCAAGGTCATGTCTCATTCTACACCATGGAAGTAATACAGCCAAGTGGATAGTAAGTAAATTCGGCTCCTTAGGTGTTTTATTTTCATTTGAGTAAATTCATCAGTTGATCTTCTATCAGATGTTTGATTCAGGAATTAATTTACTTTTTGTCAAAAACTTCAAAATTATTATTAATTTTTTTTAAATTTTGAGTTGTGGAATACCTTTTTTTTTTCTTTTACTTGTTATCAATTTTCATCAATAAATTTTTTTTCCTATTATACATTGCAAGTGAAAATTTTTAATTCACGAGTAAAATTAAGGGATTAAAATACGTTTTATTTAATCAATAGAAGTAGTCTAGTGAAGGTAATATGACTCGTATTTGACGGATTTTGATTCGATTTGATCTTTTAAGATTTTTTTTTTTTAAATCAAACATTAGGTCGAGTCGAATCAAATTTGAGGTCAAGTTGGGATTAAATTTTAGATAAATTTGATCTTATTTGATTTAATATATATAAAAAATTATTTTAATTAATTAATTAATATTATATTTATATATATAATTTTATATTTATATTAAAAATATTTTATTAATTTTAAATTAGATCGTGTATAATTTTATATAATATTATATTTGAATCAGATTCGAATATAAAAAAAATTAAAAAAAATTAAATCAAATTAGATCCAAGCATTGTATGTATATAATCGGAGTAAAAATCTGTTTCAATCCGCGTTGTCTATGGGTGATTGTCTTCAAGTCTAGTGGGTCATGGTACCCTTTTCAGTCGGTGAAGAGCTAAAGGACAATGCAATTGAGAGCCCTCAAGTGCACAGGTAAGGTGTTACCTAAATACACTTAACGGTGCAATTGGTCGTTGGGGACACTACCACCTTGGATTCCTTCTCACCGACCGTTCGGTGAAATCAAAAGGGATCCTAAGCCAATCCCGATGAAAGTCGTAGCCTAAACTTTTAATTACCTACTCCGGTCTCTCTAAGCCCTGAAACCTTAACTATAGTATGGCTATGTTCTCAGATCAGTCTTTTCCTTTTCTGCTGTTAAAAGATCTACCCTCTTCGCGACCTTTACAGACGCTAACAATCGCAGCTTATTCAACTGGAGCTATTCTTGTGACAATATAGGAAGAGTACTGGTATAAATAAATACAACGTTTATATATATATATATATATTTGTATTCATTTTTTAATCTTAAAAACAATCTTAAATAATATTTTAACATTTATTAACTAATGGAGTAAATCATGAATATAATAAATTTTTTTATGTTTAATTTATTTGTAAAATATAATAGAATTGTCTATGAATAATTTGTGAATAAATTTGATTTTTATTTATTTATATTCGTTTATTAAATTTAATAAATGATTATCAATAATATTTTATGATTCATTAATTAAATAAATTAATTATGAATATAATAAAATTTATTCATATATTCTAAAGACTTTTTCCCTTTTTTTTTTTGCATGGAGCCAATGAGAATGCTTAACTATTCCTTTTATATATTTGGATTTTCACATAAACAAATATGAGTACAAATACATTTAATAGTTTTAAACACCATACAAAAACGTTGGAAAAGAAGATACAAAAATGATAAAATTTAATAAAAATAAAAAAAATTATTTTGTATTTGAAATGTCAATACGAGTTTGACACAATAATTTTTACATTTACTGTTCATAAGTGGGGATTAATCCAAATAAATAAATAAAAAATCCCCCAAAGGATACAGAAAGCTTAAAACGACCTTACAATCTGTCCAAAGAAGAGATCAGTACTGGCACAGGTAAGGGGAACCAAAGTGACCATGAAAGATAGAAAATTGAAACATGCCATGTGGTACAACATGTGGATGTTTTTGTTATGAAAATTGCCTGGAAACTTCATATTCATAATTAATAGCAAAAACAAAAACTCATAAAAGCTATATATGCGAAAAGCAAAGTGGCACAAGTTGGAAAATTTTGACGTTTGTTAAAGAAGTTTGTCGAAGAAGTAGTACGCCTATCAACTTGGAAGATTATTTTATGGCCAGAGGCAAGAAGAAGACAAATGCCAAATTTCCCATAATATTTACAGGAATTTTGTTCTTTAAAAAATGTTTGCTCAAGCAATTAATTTATACTTGCCATTATTATTAATAACTTAAATACTAATTTCTTTCCACATTGGGAGTTAAGTTATATTTATTTTGAGGGGATCACATGTTTTACTACTTAATTAGATTTAGTGCCCATTTGAATTTCACGGAACCTTCGGTGTGATGTGATTGAATTCACTGCATCACTAATTGAATCTAAATGCTAATTCAAATAAAATTCAATTAATAAAAATTTTTCATTAATTTTTTTTTCAATCGTAATTATGATAATTTTTATTATTATTTTTAATTTTATCGTAATCAATCTCACCGTTTATCCAAATGATCGATGAAAAGCCTATCCAACTAATTATTAAACCTCATAGCTTAGCTATATAAAAAAATTTATGCAAGGTTTTATAATTATTTGTAATAAGTGATGGGTGAAAATGAATATCAAATAGCATTTTAAAATTTATACATAATTACATTTTTTTGAAATTATAGGGTTTGTCAAAAATTTTAAAATCAAGGACGAATTTAGGATTTATACTTCCAATGAAGGTAACATTAATGGAGAGGATGTGATATATATATTTTCTCCTTTATTTACAAATTTTTTTAGTATAATTTAAGCAAAGAGAATAGGAATTCAATTATATTTTTTAAAGATTTGAATTATGTCCAATTTAAATATAATATTTACATACCATATCAAAGTCCAATTGGGTTTTCATTTTTTAAATTATATATTTTTTCTATCTATTTTTAAATGTTAAACATTTACTTTATTTAATTTTCAAATGAGCATAATAAATACTTAGGATCAAATTATTATATGAACATATAATTATAAGTCGTAAACAACAATGTAGTAATGGTGGGAGTCCACATTATAGATTTTTTTTTCTAGATATCATCATTTTAATTTTTATTTTAGTTTCATGCCAAACCTAAAGGATCATACACACCTTTCACTTCTTCATCACTACAACCCATTAAAGGAATTACCAATTAATATTAATTAAGAAAAAGAAATGTCAAAAAATATATATTATCACTGTTCAATAGGTTGCATGATGAATCTTAGCCTCATTACCATTGTCACATGCATCAATGTTTCTTTTTCTTTTTAACTTTTTTTTTTCTCATGTTTTTACCTTTTTGGGGGAATGACATGCATGGGCATAGTGTGTTCTAGAATCAAGGTTCTAGTATTTTTTTTATAAAAAAAATTCGTAATCTGATAATAAAAAAATAATTGTAAATTTTAAATTTAATAAAGATCACAGCTTAAAAATAATTGTATAAATTAATTAAGCTAAACCTTAAATTCTTGATGTTTATTCTTTAAGAAATCTCCTTATGTGATATAACAATTGAGTAATAAAGTTCATGATATGTAAAGTTAAATATTGTCTTTTTTTTTTCCCCCATTTTTAACACATAAGAAGATTAAGATCTTTGTGTTTATCATTCATTCTCAACTATATGAACTACTCAAAAAATGCTAATAAGAAATGTAATTTTTTTTCTTGGCATATAATTTCTTTCTTTTCTTTGGCATATGATGTGTGATTAGCTAGTTCTAATCCTTCCCAATTTACATGTGACAATAAGATTTTTTTATTCATAGTAGCCCAAGTTCAAGTTTTTTGGATCATGCTTAAATATTTGATTTGATTCACTAATAAGTATATATATTAAAAAAAATCAAATTTGAGCTCTTTTCCCATAAAAAAACTATGACTTGGAGTTTATATGGTTTTTATTAAATTATTAATTGAAAAAAGGAGGGAAAAACTTTGGCAGCAAATATGTGGACCCAATAACCTTTAAACCAAATTACATGGGCCATGGATAATTAATGGAACATGGTTCATGTCACAGAGGATTAATGTATCCTAACCAAATTACATTAATTCAAAACCCTTTATTATGCATGAAAAAAGCTTTACAAAATCTCTGTCTGTTTGTCTCTCATGGGATTTCATGTTTCTTGTCTATCATATAAGTTTTAGTTGAATCATAAAGCTTAGTTTATCAATTTAAATAGCAAAAAAAAATGTAACTAATACCGAACCGATCAATTACTCCCACCAAACCATTTATGCAATGGTAGGTCTAATTTTGTTTCTTAATTTTGTTTTTATAAGGTTTAGTTAAGGTAAGTGAAACTTTCACAATTCAATTTGAAGATAAAACATATTTAAATTACATTTCATGGTAGTATGACGAGAGAGACTTTCATTACATCGAGATTATGTTTTATAATTAACCCTCAAAAAAGATTTCTATAATGCTGTTAAATAAATTCTTATTTAATATATATATATATATATATATATATAAAAAGAAAAAACAGAGCTCATAGCTATTGCTGAGAACATCAAAATTTTCAAGGACCACAACTTTAAGGTGAAGTGGTTGCAAAGATTAGTCATCAAATTTTGCTCTGTTCATATATTTTTCTTTTTGTTCCACTTTGTTTTCAGGTTGTGGGTTCATTTTCAGCAAAGCTCTCTCCTATATATTTATGGGTGAAATTGTTCTTAACTTGTTAAAATTGCTTTTATGTTTGTTTAGAGTTCGAATCTCGGATTTTACTCACATGGAGATAAATTTTATAAAATTTCTTTTTAGAAAATAATTTTTTTCTTAAAAATTTCCTTTAACCATTAGTTCATGTGAAAAATTTGAGGCTTTGGTATTTTGCTAATTTTATAAAATTGAATATTCTCAAATATTCAAGGCTTCAAACATTTTCCATCTACTTGCATTTTGGTTTAAAAACTTGAAAGAAAGTCTAAACAATATACAATATAAAATAATTGGGTAAAGTTGACCATATATGCATAAAATAATTTTGATCATTATTACTTAGGATGATGATTATGTTAATAATTTTTTTTAGTTTTTAATCTAACCTTTTATCTTAATAATTATTTGACTGAAAAAATATTATGTACATAAATTTCTTCAAATTTATAATTTTTAATTTCAAACTTTAATTATACGTCAATTGATTTAAAGGCGATGGGTTTTGACTTGAGCTAATAGGATTGGATTTTTTTTTTTTTAAATCGAATTTTGAGTTGAG